CCATTAACAGAAGTTTTAGTCGGCAAGTAGTTCAAAATCCCTTGTTTTTCTTCATTTGCATTCCTGTCCACACAGATCACAATATTTTCGTAATGTTTTTCTGTATTGGGCCAGTTTATATGCCAATTTGACAATTTGCTTTTTGTCCCAGATGTCTGAAGTATTTCTTTGTTCTGAGATATTGAAATGAACAAATATTAATATGAATCGCATTTATAGCTCAGTTTTTCAGACTACTTTCTGGTTATGGGACAATGCACTTGCACACACATCTACGCACAGAATAGGGATCAGAGCAAGCAGCAAATTGACTGTTGACAAATATCATTTGTTGAACGCAGATGACAAACATATATTCTAACTAATCGTATGTATAGTGGAACCATTAGACCAGGTGTCGGCAACCTTTTGTCGTTCGCGGGCCAAAATTAAAGGATGCAAGTCATTGCCGGGCCGCACAAATTTTTAGAAACTTGAAAACCGAACAGATGATACCTTCTATAATAAAAATCAACAGTGATACATCTCACGAATAGAATATAGATTTATTTCCTCATTGAATTGCATCTCAAAAAATACAATCTGCCATTTGTTATAATTAAAATACAGGCTCAATGACCGAGAATTTTATACTTGTTAGATTATAATACACTTTTGTCTACACGTGTCTCACAATTAAATTCTCTTACGTAAAGAATTTATTCGCCAAAACAGCTGTTTTGTTATTATATTCCAGTCAATATTTCCACCTCCAAACATTATGAATACCTCATAGGAAAGGCCTCTTTCAAATTGAATTTCGATGTCAAAATTAACGCAATACAATACTTCACATTACATTCAATACCTTGCTCAGGGTGCATTGCCTTCTTTGGTACAAAAATTTGAACTTCACATAACAGATCATCGAACATATACCTGTAAATTATATCTCTATGCATTTTGGAAAAAATACTGAATTGTAACTACTAACCCTGTATCGCATTCCCGTCCACAGAAATAGGTTTCCGATTGATCCGGAGTTCAAAATATAATCTCTTATGTATTTCTGAATTTTGTTGTAATGTTCAAGGCTGTAGATATTTCCCATGGACATGGAACATGATTTACATAAACTTTTCGCTTTGTCAAAGTTTGATTTATAATTCGGTTCCGGGTTGACTATCTTGAAGCATTTTCCATCGAAAGTGAAATCGCATTCTGTTAATTTCATAGTTACATATTTATAGTATTCATTAATATACCTCATAAGCTATTGGTGAATATTTGGATTTAATGATCCAAATATTAGAAAAGTTGTGGTCGCGATAGCTTCGTGGTGAAAGAGTTAGATTTAACTGTCTTGCGAACGCAGGTCTCACATCTCGATTTCAAATTCCAAACGCCACAGATTAGATATGTTGTCCTAGAATATTATAATCTTTAACTTTTAATATATAAACTTTTCTTGCTACAGAATTATTAAATTACGGTATACGAGATCATCAGCACAATGGTTGAAATAAAAACGCTAGCAGAATACAACATTTATTTGGTAAACAAAACTATTGTTAAAGACTGACTTATCTGTTAGTTACTTCATATATTTTGTCATGTGACAGTCATTAACGAATTTTGATTAAAATAATGTTGTATAAAAGTATCAACTGATATTAGAAATTACTCATTTTGGAAGGATCGGAATATTCATTGGATTGTTTTCATTTACTACATTTTCATTGAAGTTACGCAGAAATACACAAAAATAATTCGATCAGTGTGCGCCAATATTCTTGCTACAGCACTATTGCATTGCATGCATACGAATCCACCAGTGAAAAGAAAGGAAAAGAAATAAGAAGTTAAATTACGTAACCTCTCATGATAGTTAAGTGCTTAAAATACCTGACAAAGTAGTCAAAGCTACACTTGTGGTGGTGAAGTACGTCGATGTTTCGAAGTTGGAAGTTACGCCAGAGGTCACAAATTTGGTTTCTGTATCATCTACAGCAGAGAATAAAGGTGAAACTGTAAGTTTGTCAGAGGTCGGTAAGCTTTTAGAGGAATCTGCAGTCTCTACTTTTCCAGTGGATCCGACGTGTTTTGGTGTCGTTGTCAAATTACCAGTTGTAGAGTTATGTGGACTTTCTGTTTTGGATTCAGTATTTCCTAGAATGTGTGCCAGTTCTGTCTGAATTGTTACTTCACTATGTAATAATCTTGGATTCCTAGTCAGAAGTGAAATGAAGTGCTCTGTCAGTTGATTTCTTAAATCTGAAAAAATAAAATTAAAAAAATAAAGACAATGAAAAATAGGAACTCCTGAAGTATGCGCACCAAGATGGCGCACAACCTGAATTCAGGTTAGGGTTCAGTTATGCGACATCTTGGTGCGCATACTTCAGGAGTACAGAAAAATATCTATGTAAACTTTTTATGAAAATTTGTCATGGGCATGCGTTCACTTATTAAGTCTGCGAATTTCGAGGTAAATTTACGTATATGCTCATTACTCAATAGAAGAAAGCTTCAAAGTAAAGTCACAAGCCTGCCCTGAAACACCAGGAAATACTAAGTATACAGAGATACGTCCTTAGCATAGATACCGAAAAACAATGTTTGACGTAATACAGGGAACAATTGAAGTCCGACTTATAAGGGAGCTGTAAAATTGCTAAAAGACTCAGCAGTGCACTGAAAACTAAGTCACGAGCGAACCCAGAATTACCCAGAACTGAGAGATAAATTGTGAACATAGGCCAACTATCCACAGAATACGATTAATGTGTGTTTAATGTGTGGTGGGATTTAAATTTTGGAACTAGTTCTCTAATGTATCGAACTCATCAACAACAGATTCCCTCATTTCAAAATATATGTATGCCACTGTGTAAGATGCATTATCACGACACTCTTTACCTGGATCTAATAGCAAACTATAGAAACGCCAAATATAAAGTTTGTCCAATATTGTGCAGTAATCAAACGTACAAAACAAAAAAATCAAGGACGGGTTACTTGATTATCACGACATTCCAAGACTGGGTTTGCGCGAACTGTGCAAGCCCTCTAAATCCCACTACTTTATATATATACCAGAATATTTAAGCAATAAAAATAGGTTGAGCTTACCTTCTTCGCTTTCAAACTAAAACAAAGAAAAAAGATTTTTGAAATTATATTCATACAAATTTAACAGAAGCAAGGCGATGAGCGCTTAAGTAGCCTTCAGTAGCAAAATGGCGTGCAATATGTTTATGTTGACACAAATATATTTAAGTAAACGTACCGAGAATAAATGGTAACAGTTTTCTCAGAAAATAGTCTCGACAAGCTTATCATGACAAATTAAATGAATCATATTATAATTGTTTACTATGCGGCTCCTCATAATCTGAATTATTTTTACGTTTGATTATTAGTATAGGGACCTTACATAACAATAATTTCTATACGCAAACAATGAACTTTATTTACTAATACTTACTGAAATATCAACATTTGTAATTTGTCCATCACATGTTTCAACTAAGCTGGTTGCGACTAAAAAAAAGTGTAAGAAGATTGTCGTGATACATATATATTCCAACTTTATACATGAAATCCCCTTTGTACTTATTTATTTGATTGATGTCGTTTTGCAAAACTTTTTCAACAAGGCTAGACAATGATTTGAATTAAGGAAACTATTTCAATCATTTTATTAATATTTTTAAAGAAAAATCACGGTTTTATAATTTGAAGGGATGTAACTACACATTACACTATTCATAACACATTTTTGAATATGATTTGTAAAGTATTTGAAACGGGTTACCATCTGCTTTTCCCCGGTATTTTAAGAACAAAAATTGTCACCTCTTGTCTAATAGCATCAATGGATTTGTGTACTAGAGCTAGTTGCGTAAAGGCAATAAAGCATTAACCGTTTTGACCACAGACCAGATCCAGCTAACAAAAACAAAAAGATAAAATAAACACTTGCCATTTTTCTATTAGACTTTTTTGTATGCCACTTCACAATTACATCTACCTATATAAGCTATCAAGCCCACAGAACAAATAATTTATTAAAAGTTTCCACACGTTTAAAAGAGTCATATTACGTCACAAATTTTCATATATTGAAACCTTTTCACGGCAGCATAACAACGCAACTATAATGTTTATTATAAGTCTATCACTCATGCGTGGGCAGAATAAAATTTGTAATTATTTAAATTATAATAAAAACAGCGTTTCATCTTGACTATGCTTGATTTAAGATGTCTTATTCATTCGGTGAATAACACATATCAATCTTACTTGAACGCAGATGAGATACGGGCTCAGACACTACTTTTATTATACACGAGTAAGCATGGTCTATACATGATCATATGAGTAATATTGTCAGTGACTTCCTTGTGTGGTGCATTTTAATGAGCGATAACGTCCGTAGGCAAAACGGGTCATCTCACGATCCTTTTCATAATGCTATATTGCCTTTACGCAACTAGCTCTAGTACACAAATCCATTGATGATTTTTAGACAAAAAGTGAAAATTATTATCCTCAAAATACCGTGGAAAAGCAGATTGAAAAACTATAAATTTTTAAAATGATTTGACACCAATTGCAAATTTCTACCACTAATATATGTCATAATTCCAATTCAACCACGCTTCAAATGTTTGTTTGGCTTAATTACGCTCCAACTTGTGTTAAATGTGGCTTATATCATTCTAGGTGACTGCGCTTGGCCTTGCGTTGAGCAAGGTAAAAATTAACTAATGAATTGGTAACAATTAACATATAATTGGATGATTGTAAATAGCCTTGTTCTGAGTGGAAATGTATCACACGAAAAAGTGCTCACAGGGTGATTCAAACCTAGCGTAAAGCATTTCTCTATTATTTTTGATGTTTAATTGGTCGCATACAAATTTGAAAATGAAAGAAAACATGATTTTGACTTTTTCCCTTTTTTTTAAATTTCTTTAGGCCTATCCGGCATGATTTGGAAAAACAGACTGCTTTAATACAGTTTTTGTTCAGTTTTATTAATTCATTAAAAAATTCAAACAAAACATTTTGAAGTATAAGATAAAAAGATTTCTTTCACAGGTATGGTATGCATCCAAAAAATAGCGCGGTGGATTTCAACCAGTCAACCAATTTCAACAACGGCCCGATTGTAAACCATGGTGCTCTTTCAAGCATGTAACACCTCTTGGCATAAATAAAAACCGTCTAACAATAACATACTAATCAAAATATAAAAAAAAATCGAAATGTAGATCAATTTACACCAACATATAAAAGGAAAGTAGGAAGTCTTGTATCCTGAAACATTCTGGTCTTTCCAAACAACATTTATTTTGAGATATATGTAGCTTTTTGCACAGGGACTTTTACATAGCGGAAAGCGTGTGTATGTCGCGTATAAAATAGAAATGAATCAATATCGATATCTCTTCGAGATTAACGGGTCTTAGGAAGAAGATATTTACTTCCCCATATCACATAGATAGGGCCCGGAATCGAAACTTCAAAAAATTATAAAGTATGATTGCTTTATATCGTTCACATTAAAATGTTTTGCTGATTATTATTCAACAGTCAGTTGTGTGTCGTTGACCCAGGAAATAAATATAGTGTTAAAATAGAATTTAACGAACTAACATATAAACTATTATCTTTAATATAGATAGCAAATTAAGAATGAACAAATAAATTATATAGTTTTCAGAAAAAATGAGCGAGAAAAATTAAAATTTATTTTAAAAAAATATTCAATAGAAATCTAGACATAGATCTATTGACATCTATTTTTCTGTAAGCAGCATTGATGTTTAAACACGAGCAAAGTTTTTCAAAAAAGATCTTTCGGCTTTTCACAAAGCGCCCCGCTTAGTAATCCACTTGGAGGTTTGTTGAAAATGCCACTATTTGTAGATCCAGCATTTTTATTAATTCGGAGTGCTATATTTTTGTATGTCGAAGCCGCGGACGGATTTTCAAGCCAATGTGGAAGTCCAATTTCTTTTCCGGTTGTGAGAATAATTTTTCTTCCGCTAACCTTCAATAAAATAATGATCAATTAGACGAATAAATTTATTTCCGATATTTTAGCTACGAAATTGAAATTTTTATTCATTTAAACTTAATTAGTACAGCTTAGCTGATTTGTTTTACTCACACCCTTTCCCCAGCCATTTTTTCCCGAAATAATTAAATTGACGTGTAAATTATGGTATCTACCGGCTTTTACCTAAAATTTGTGGATTACTTTGATTTTTAGCTATCCGCGCTTGTTTGTAACTATAATTTATTTTTATTATTCCTTGCAACTTTTTTTGAATACCCAATAAAATACTTGCATTATTGATAGTCATTCCAGTCCAAATGTCAATGTAATTATATGTAATGCCAGTCAAGAAGTTCGTACGAAAGTAGTTTACAACCGAATTGAAGTGAGCAGTATCGTAGATATTCCCCAATTTCATACCATTGGCTGTGCATTGCTGCGTGGCCATGTCGAAATTTATTTCATTATTAACAACAATTACATGGAGGCAGCTATTCTCATAGATCAAATTGCAGTTATCTAAAAAAAAGTCGAAAAGATTAATATTGTCATCATTTATATTGTTAAATTATTTTAGCTAGGTAATCATAATAACATTATTATCAAACGTAACCTGCGTTTCATTAAGTATGTAATTTAAGGTATTTAGAACTTTTATAGGGCTCTGTACGTGAACCCACTTTTAGTTCTGTAGCTACTATTACAAAAATCTATCCGATTCATCATTAGCTACCCAATTTAGTTGTGATTTAGTTATTTGTTTACCAGGTGAAGTAGGATTCATTGTCTCTCCTGTTGGGTCAGTAGTTCTATCTGTGATTTCAGGTGGTGTGGTAGGATGCTTTGTTGTAGATTCACTCAATGTCTTGCTAGGGACGGTTTTACTTGACCGAATAGGAAAAATCTCAGTTGGCTGGGTGATGTATTCGTCGTCGATAAAAGTCGAAATTTTCAATTCAGCATTCGGATTGTTCATCAAAATTGGAGTCAAGATTTCTTCCAACTTATTTCGAAGTTCTTAAAGTGAACAAAAAAAGAAGACTTACATTTACAGTATAACTATGCTGAAAGTTTTATTAAATGAATTTTGAACTATAATATTCCATATTTGAAAAATATACATTGTCGCGCATTAGCAAAATAATCGTTGATTTGTTTTTATTATTGTCTAACTCATGTCCTCTTTACCTCATATTGAATGCGCGTTTACTTGATTCAAAGCAATTCCCACTAAACGATAGTTGCAAATTTGAGTTAAAGCGGATGTGCAGCCAGCCAATGCATCTTATTCAGGTTTACAGGTTGCCATTAAGGTTTACAAAAAAATATGTGCATCTATGATCTTTTCAATCAATCTATACAACCCTGGGTAAGATAAACAGATAAATAAATATTCCAATACGTGATACGACAACGTAGAAGATGTACTCTTTCTGTCCCCATGGCCTATTGCATCCTCACTGTTACTATCTATATTGTATAAATTATTTAATAATTTTTGAATTTTATAAGGTATTCAATGGTTTGAGCTATTTCAGATACTCTAAACTTTTATAACTTTAAAGTGCATTTACCTTCTCCACCGAAGCCCTGAAAAGACAAAATAAATCTTTAAGTTAAGATTAACTTGAAATTTAAGAAATTTACCATAAAATTGATTGCACAAATCATAATATTTGAGAAAAACATTACAAATGCTTGCTTATAAATAAAATCTCAGAAATATAGATAATAGTTTTATTGTTTTAGGATATTTTCAGATTTAGATTTATTTTTACCAAATTTGATCATGCAAAGTAAACCAGAAAAAAATTTGTTTATATCTGTGATGTTAGCCTATGGTTTCAACTTGATGTAATATATATTCGACTTGCCTCAATAATTTTTTCATGAGTTGTTTCTATATCGCATTTTTCTTCATCTGGAGTAGGTTCAGCTATAATTATAAAAAAATATATGTAAGATTGACATGATGTAATATCAATATATTTCCACCGTCGTGCATTCTTAATTAAGAAAACAAGAGATTAATGCTCAAATATATGAACGCTAAGACCAAATCAAAGAATTATCACAAAATCTTCTACAGCACCGATACCCTTATTCTTTTTTTATCAAACAACTCTCCACTCCGTTGACCTCCAAATTGCTAAAATGCAATTGCGAATCAGTCACACAGTCGGACAATTATAGATCTTGATGACATAATCACACAAATATTCAGAGCAAGAGGAATTCCATAAAGCCAACAGAATTTTTTTTTAATAAATAATAGTCTTCTATCGACAACAACAATTTTCAACAAATCGAAATTTCAAGTAATAACGAAAACATTTATACCACTTCGTGTTTAATTAACAAAATTGATATTTTCAACGCCATATGAGAAAAATTTGTTTTATAATCCTTGTTGTTCATAAATTAGATTATTTTTAAAATATTTATCTAACATTAACTCCAATTTGTTAGGAAAGTTGTTTTTAAGCAAGATGTGCGAGAAAATATCGATATTAGGAATAAAATGACTAACCCGCAATATTAAATGAGCATTTTTGTTTCGAAAGTCTTGATGTCAATCCTACATGCTTCTACATATTATAAGCAAGTAAACATATTTACTTATCAATGACTAGTGCTAAGAAAGTTGTTTTTAAGCAAGATGTGCGGGAAAATATCGATGTTAGGAATAAAATGACTAACCCGCAATATAAAATGAGCATTTTTGTTTCGAAAGTCTTGATAACAATCCTACATGCTTCTACATATTATAAGCAAGTAAACATATTCACTTACCAATGACTAGTGCTAGTAGTGCAAGCCAAATAAGAAAGATCAATCTCATCTTCGTATTGAGACTTTCAACTAGGAATTGCAACACACTATTATGCTTTGTGCTTGTACTTCGATGCTACCAGCTATCCCGGTTTGTTAGATTAGCAATCCACTGCTATACAGGTTCATCTCTACTGTTTTGACTGTCAACCGTTGTATAATTCTAAAGTAGGTTGCTGCTAAAAATACTACACATAATTAAATGAATCACAAGGTAATAAAACATAAAGTAAATAACAAGAGTCATGTCTACACTGTTTACTGTACTAGACCCATGTTTTACATAAGCGTATAAGAGTGCCTGTATGGATGGATTGTATCGCGTGTCATCTTCTTAAAATATTGTCCAAGAAAGCGAGCTATCTGTTACTAGTTTTCTGAGTTTTTTGCATTTTGTGAGTAATTCTATGATTAAAATTCCACTAATGAGATGAACCGAAATTCAATTAAAATTTGACACTCGAATGCAAGCGGAAGTGGCCTTTATACACACCCAAACTACGTAACTCGCATTCGATTGAACTAACTAATTACCACATTCCAAAAATCTCTTAAGGTTGACCAGGTGTGAATTCATAGAGTAAACGCGTAAACGCATAGGCATGAGTAAAATATTAAAAACACTTTGAAATGATCTTCGGCTATGATAGTGATAAACTACATGTTATATAAAGAGCTATAAAATGGGCTAAATCATGAATGCCCAAGGAAATGGTTATGTAATCAATAGGAGAATAAAACTCAAATATAAGGACACGTAGGCCGCACGTCGATATCGATGAGGTGAGAATTTTGCTGAAAGGATCGGTGAAAAAGATTAGCGGAATGAAAATATGTTCTACTGTAATTAATATAAAACACTATATTTTTGGGTGAACCATCATGTTCCAGGGGTAATGTGAAATATTTAAAAAACAACAGTCATAACAACAAGAATAATATTGAAAAGAATTTATGAATTTAACGACATGTACCTTTCAATAGCAGGTCGATTTCGGTTAGGTGTAATATGAACGCTAACAAAACCCCCATTCATTTAGCATGAGACTCGATGTTTTTTTGCTATTATAATGCGTTATTATATTTGTATGAGTTGAATGCGCAATTTAGAAATCTCAGATTTTGGGCGATAATGACCCAATTCCCACATTGATTCTACTATGCCACTATATCAGACTGTACCTTTCAAAAGATATTAAAAAAATTAATTACATATAAAAACCCACAACGAGTATTATACTCGCCATCTCGCATGAGAAAGCATTGAACTTCCTATTTAAATTCGATGCGCGAATATACAATATAATATCGTGAACTAATATAAACTCGCATCCTGTAACATTTAATGCGTATACGTAGATTTTGGCAAATTCATCCGTCTTTAAGTACAACAAATTTGAAGTCGACGGGGGCAATATTGACGGAGAAAGGTTATTCTCACAACAACAACAACAAAAATGTAGCAAAACGAGTCACTTCGTGTCGATCAAAATGCTGCAAATATTCCCTATACATGCTTCAAAATCGTCAAGATTTTCTATACTATGAAAATCTCAAGTTCAGCTTTCAACACGTCATGATCACTTCCAACACTTATATCGTGGGTCTACTTATAAAAACTCTGCTTTCGCAATAGTTGATGAGTATACTTAAATAACAGCAATCAGAGTTGATGACGTTCAGTATTACATCTTACATCAATGGCTGGTTAAAGCATCAATGGATTTGTGTACTAGAGCTAGTTGCGTAATGGCAATAAAGCATTATGAAAATTAACGTCAGATGTACCGTTTTGACCACAGACTAGAGGCTCATTAAAATGCACCACATAAGAAAGTCACTGATAAATTTTTTAATAAATTCTAAAAACTGGAATTACACCAAAACAGAGGTGCGAAACTCACCTGAAGTCGATCCAGCTAACACAAACAAAAAGATAAAATAAACCCTTGCCATCTTGCTATTAGACTTTTTTGTATGCCACTTTACAATTACATCTACCGATATAAGCTGTCAAGCCCACAGAACGAATACGCTAATAATAATTTCCACACGTTCAAAAGCTCAAATTTAATGAGCCACTCGTCTATTGACAAAACGGTTCATTTAACGTTCTTTTTCTTGATGCTATATTGTCTTTACGCAACTAGCTTTAGTACACAAATCCATTGATGATTTTTAGACAAAAAGTGACAATTTTTATTCTCAAAATACCGTGGAAAAGCAGATTGAAAAACTATGAATTTTTGAAATGATTTGACACCAATTGCAAATTTCTACCACTAATATATGTCATAATTCCAATTCAACCATGCTTCAAATGTTTGTTTGACTTAATTACGCTTCCAACTTGTGGTAAATGTGACTTATATCATTCTAGGCGACTGCGCTTGGCCTTGCGATGAGCAAGGTAAAAATTAACTAATGAATTGGTAACAATTAACATATAATTGGATGATTGTAAATAGCCTCGTTTTAAGTGGAACCGTACCACATCAAAAAGTGCTCACAGGGTGATTCAAACCTAGCGTAAAGCATTTCTCTGTTACTTTTGGTGTTTAATTGGTCGCATACAAATTTGAAAATGAAAAAAAACATGATTTTGACATTTTTCCAGTTTCTCTCAAATTTCTTTAGGCCTATCCGACACGATTTGAAAAAACAGACTGCTTTAATACAGTTTTTGTTCAATTTTATTAATTTATTAAAAAAATTTAACAAAATATTTTCAAGTATGGTATGCATCCAAAACATAGCGCGGTGGATTTCAACCAGTCAACCAATTTCAACAACGGCCCAATTGTAGACCATGGTGCTTTTTCAAGCATGTAACACCTCTTGAAATGAATAAAAACCTTTAAAAAATCTAAATGTAGATCAATTTACACTAACACATTAGAGGAAAATAGGAAGTCTTGTATGCTGAAATATTCTGGTCTTTCTAAACAACATTTATCGTGAGATATATGTAGCTTTTTGCACGGGGACTTTTACATAGCGGAAAGCGTGAGTAAGTCGCGTATAAAATAGAAATGGATTGCCACCAATATATCTTATAGATAAACGGGTTTAGGAAGAAGATATTTACTTCCTCATAGCGCATAGATTGTGCACAAAATCGAATCATCAAAAAATTCTAAAATGATTTTAGAATGAATGATTGCTTTTTAATAAATACAATGTTTTTCGTGCACATTAAAATGTTTTTGTTATTATTAATCAGTAGTTTGTTTTGTACTATCGTCCGGGGAACCAATATAACGTCAAAATAAAATCCATAAAATGTAACGAACAAATAACATAAAAACTATTTCTTTTAAATTGATATTAATTTTGATACCAAGAAAAAATAAAAAGTTATATAATGTTTAAAAGTATAAGTGAAATAAATTTTGAAAACTTTTTTAACAAATATTCAATAGAAACATAACTAAAAAGTTAAATTTAATACCCAATTTAAATTAGTTGTGTAAATTCTGACAAAATTTTATTCTAAAATATAGTAAGATGCCTGTCAATCAATTGGAGTTTAAATATTAACTCTGGAGCTTCTTGTTTAAAAAGAAGAATTTTATTGATACACACTGTGAAATGCATCGGTCGCCAAATTTTAAGCACATTTATTGCATTTTTGCAGGGGACGGTTTCACTGCATAATTATGTCTTTTTTTTACCTAAAATCAAGCAACGATAGTTCAAAAATACAATGTCTTCAGTATAATTATAGTGGAGTCAAATACATATTTTTGTCTGTGAGCACTAATCAGTAGTGAAGACAGATCCAAGTTTTTTGAGAATGATCTATCTTCTTTTCGCAAAGCACTCCGCTCAGTGACACAGTTTTCGACGTGTTGAAAATCCCTTGATCATCTGATTCAGCATTTTATTAATTCGCAGTGCGATATTATTGTGCGTAGTGGCGGAGGAAGGGGGCACAAGCCAATGTGCGAGTACAATCACTTTACCAGATGTAAGAATAATCTCTTTTTTATTCACCTTCAATAAAATAATGACAGATTAGAAGAATCAATTTATTGATTATGTTTCAGAATTTGTATAGAACTTTTAAAATTTTATTAATTAACTATTAACTATTAGTAACTATATCAACTATTAATTACCTAACTATTGGTTCTCATTTCTGAAAAAAAATTATACAAAATTGTTATTTTCTTTTCAAGAAGAAAACTTTTGCTTCTTGGACATTTATCACCCCAATCTCTATCCCTGCCAGATGAAATGTTTAAAGTACCATGTTGATTAGTATCTACTGACAATATTTGTGGATTACAATGTCGTTTTAGCTTATTCGCTTGCTTATTATTATTCCTTGCAACTTATCTTTAGAAATACCAATAAAATTCTTACATTAATGATAGTCATTCCAGTCCAAACGTAAATATTATTAGTAGTAAAACCAGTCAAGAATTTCGTACGAATGTACTCTGTAACCAAGCTAAAGTGATGAGAGTCATATATATTCCCCATGTTCCAATCTTTCGATATGCATTGTCGTCTGGCGTTCTCAAAATCCACAGAGTCATCAGGAACGATTATATGAAAGCATCTATCCTCATAGACAAAATCACAATTATCTAAAAAATATTGAAAAAAGTTCATATTAATATTGTTTCTACCCAATATATTCTTTGCCAGTTGAATCATCATAATATTATTATTATTAAAAGCGGTCTGCGCGTGATTTAGTATGTCACGTGAGATAAACGACTTTTTATATAAAGTCCACTCAAGGGTCTGTATAAGCAGCCTGGAGCTACTGTATTTTGGAAATGTCAAAATATTCTCAGTTCAGCATTGCTTACCCGAATTCAGCAATGTTTTAATTTAGTTAATTGTTTACCATCAGGCGGAGTAGTAGGTTTGAATGTTTCGCTCGTTTGGTCAGTAATTCCACTCCGTGATACTTCAGGCTGTGTAGTAGACTGAATGTCTGTAGATCCACTCAATGTCTTGCTTGGAACTGTTTTAGTTGATTGAGTAGGAATATTCTCAGTTGGCTGGGTGACGTCGATAAAAGTAGAAATTTTTAATTCTGCATTTGGATTGTTCATCAAAATTGGAGTGAAGATTTCTTCCAACTTGTTTTGAAGTTCTTAAAGTTAACGGAGGAAGAAGACTTACATTAACGGTATAGGTATGCTGTAAGTTTTATTAAATGAATTTTAAACTATAATATTCCATATTTCAAAAAAAATATATTATCGCGCATTGGCAAAATAATCTTGGAATTGTTTATATTGATATCGAACCTATGTCATCTTTACCTCAGAATGAATGCGCGTGAACTTGATTTGAAGGAATCCCCAACAAACGATAGTTTGTAAATTTGGGTTAAAGCGGCTGTGCATCTAGCCAATGCATCTTATGCAGATTTATAGGTAACAATTAAGTTTTACAAAAGACGTATCCATTTGTGAATATTACGATCAATATATACAACCCTAGGTGAGATAAATAGCCCGTGATTTTCTGACCCGTAATACGACAACGCGTGACCCATAAATTCTTACTATTACTATTTATATTATTTTGGTTATTTCAAATTGAATCTCATAATGTATACAAAGATTTCAGCTATATTAGATACTCTAAATTTTATAACTTTGACGTGCATTTACCTTCTTCTTCGAAGCCCTGAAAAAACAAGAAAAAAAATGTTTTTAAATTAGATTTACTGAAAATTCATGAAATTTACTATCAATTTGTTGCACAAGTAATAATGTTTGAAAAAAATCATTATAAATGCCTGTTTTAATGAAGTCTAAGCAATTTTGATAATAGTTTATTTATTATTAGACATTTGTAAATTTTGATTTATTTTATCATATTAAACCATGCAGTGAAAAAAAAAATATATGTTAATCTGTTATATAAGCTCAGTGATAACTTAATATAATGAAGTGCCGACTCACCTCAATACCGAATTCTTCATTTATTTCTCCATTGCATATTTCTTCGTTCGGATTAGGTTCAGCTACAATTATAAAGAAAAAATTAAAGTTGAATAGACAAGGTGTAATTCCAATATTTTATTCGTAGTTCAGTCTTTATTAATAATACGGGAAATCAATTCTCGACAATATGGAAGCTAGGACCAAATCAACGTATTATAAGAAAATCTTGGACAGCATGGATACACTTAGTCTTTTTTTTATCAAAAAATTCCCAATTCCGTTGACCAACACATTGCTAAATTGCAATTGCAAATCCGTCATACAGTCTAGCAATTTTAAAACCTCATGACGTGATCACACAAAACTTCAGAGCGAATATAATTCCATAAAGACACCCGCAGAAATCTTTCAAATAAATAATAGTTTTCTATCGACAACAGTAATCATTAACAACTGGAAATTTCAAAGCAATTGATCCAGTATTTAAAGGCGATTGTGACAACAAAAATATGTAGGTAACAGCAACATCATTTACTTCACTTCGTGTTCAATAGCAAACATTCATGTTAGAAAGAATTCATTTATTAATATATGTTATTCGTGAATTAGATTACTTTTAAAATAATCATCTCAAATCTCATAACATCAACGGCAGATTGTCTAAATTGTATTTAATCAAGATGAGCGGGAAAATATTGAAGTTGGAAATAAAATGGCCTAACCCGTAACATTAAATCAACATATATTATTTTTTTTAAAAATACCTCTGGTTTCTACATAGTAAAATCAAGTAAATATATTTACTTACCAAAGACGAGTGTCAGTATTGCAAACCAAATAAGAAAGATTAATCTCATTTTCGTGACTTCCAACTCCCGGAAAAACTCACTATTATACTTAGTGCTATTGCTATGATGCTACCAGCTGTCAAAATATGTTGCATTAGCAACGTACTCTTTATATCTACTGTTTTTGACTGTCAACTGTTGTATAATACAAAAGCAAATGGCTGTTAAAAATACAACACATAATTAACAAATTGAAGGGTAATAATACATAAAGTAAATAGAGTCATGTCAACACAGTTTAGTGTACTATACTCATAATATATATGAACATACTATTATGAACAGATTGTCTCCAGTCCCACCATCTGAAAAATTCAGTGTAATACTTTTTGCAATGCAAGCTAAATGTAACAAATTTTCTGATTTTTTTCTACATTTTGAGAGTAATTATAAAGTTAAAATTCCACTAATTTGATGTACCAAAATTCAATTGAAATTTGACACACACGTGCAGGCGGAAGTGCCCTTTCAAACTACGCATATCACATTCGATTGAACTTACTAATTACCACATTTCAAAAATCCCTAAAGGTTGACCAGGTGTAAATTCATGCAGTAAACGTGTAAACGCATAGACATGATCAAAATATTGCCTGTGCTCTTGAAAACATTTTGAAATGATCTTCATCTATGAATGTGATGAACTACATGCAGGTTTTATCATGAGAAATAACATGTGCTATATCATGCATGCCCAAGAAACTGGTTATGCAATCAACAAAATGATAATGCTCTAATATATGAACACGTAGATCGCACGTTGATATTGATGCAGCATGCAGTGATAACTTAGCTGAGAACCGTGTTTGCTGAAAAGATCGATGAAAAAGCTTGGCGGAATGAATAGAAATGTGTTCTACTTTAATTAAAATGAAACACCGAAATTCTGGGTGGAATATTTCGGTATATTTAATCATCATAATAACAAGAATTTGCGAATCGAACCCCATGTTTAAGCCCTTTTAATAAAGGTTCGATATTTGTTGAATGTAAAATAAACGCTAATAAAGTTCCCCCATTCATCTGGCACAGGACTCGGTGTTTTTTATGCTGCTATAGTGCATTATTACGTGTGCAAGTGTTAAACATGGAGTTGTCTGCGCCATTCATTAATCTCAGATTTAGGGCTACATACTCTCAATGTATACCTTAATTGTACTATATCTCTATGTCAAACTGTAAAAAAAAATTATATAAAAACTTATATATAAAGCGCATTCAACTTGCCATTTTGCTGGAGGAAACATTGCATTTAATATTTTAATTTAATGGGTGAATATAAAATATAATATCTATTATGAAACTCTGATTTCGCAACATTTAAAGGCACATTCATCTATTTATCGTCTATCCTTTAAGTACGAACTGATCTGTCCATTATTGACGGTGAAACTTTCTCAACAACAACAGCAGCTTAAATTGAGCAAAACGATTAACTCCGTGTCGACCAAAATGCTGAAAGTATTCACTATACAGTCTTCGAAACCGTCAAGATTTTCCAAGCTTTTAAAGTCGACGTGTAGCTTTCAGCAGATTAGGCTCGCTTCTGACACTTATATGTGGGTCTAATTATAATTACTCTGCTTCCGCAATAATTAATGAGTACTCAAATACCAACAAATAGAGGCGATGGCGTACAATATTCCAGTCTACATCAATGGCTGGTTTGATCAAACTCCAATCACAACCCTCGATTTTATCAGACCAATGATGGAATAAAATTGATTGATTGATTGATTTAGGAAGTTCGCAAGAATGTCGTGATAATAGGCGAACCCGTTTTTGTCTATTTTGTTTTAGATTTTATATAACCGCGGAAAATAGTTACGTGCATCGTAGCTGACAACTTGCGCTGTACTTGGATTTTTATTTATTAGATTTATGTGTCGTGTTCACGCAGCTCGCGTAATAATAACACACTTATATCTTTTCTGAAATGAGAGAACCTGTTGTTAATGTCGATACAATGACCACCACTTAGTCAACCACTGTTCCATCACCATTTTTCACATTTCTCTGTTGCGTTTAAATATGTTTTTTATAAATATCACAAAATTTAGCATTAATATGAGAATTGCTGTTTCTGTATGTCAAAGGGTTTGTCTTTGTGTCAAGATATTACGATACATATACTAATAGATTAATGTTCTATCAATTGCCTTGTCAGTTTGATCACTAATAAACATGGTCCTTTGTTTATTAGTGATCTATTGTATATTAATATTTCTACTACTTACTATTATTTTCACGCTATTGCTTTTCATATTAAAATAATTTGCTCACGCGCAATCACTCAGAAAGGAGAGTGATCTCTAAGAAAATTACAGATCAACACTGAAGTGCCATGAGCTACTTCTACTGTGATGGGGTATTGTAGCGTAGAATTAAGTACACGTAAGTGAATACAAATTGACTTGGACCGCGAAAAACATGAGTTTTTCTTACTTCTTACTTCTATGGACCTGCCCGTGACCTTTTTTTTTTAACTTTCCATGAAAAGACAACGTTTTAAATATTTACAGGTTTATTTCAGTATGTGCAACTAAAAAGATAGTAGAAACACAAAAAAAACTATATAAAATTAATACATTCAAAAAAGCAATTATCTCATAAACATTGTGTGAAGTAATCTATTTCGATTTTTAAACTTAAAACCTGTAAAATATAAAATAGTTTTTTGTTCAGCTTTAACAAAGATTTTGAGGATTAATTGATGAACAATAAAATTTACCGTATTTTCACTTATTAACCGGTGAAACGTAATTGTTACTTTTAAATTTAAGACAGTCTTGAATCTGATTGTACAAGTTAGAAATCTCACAGTTGCCCAATTTACCCGATATCCACATTAATTCCACTATGTCAATATCACTATATCAGAATGAACGGTTGAAGAAAATTAAACAAGAAAAAAAAGGTCAGATGTGAAAGGTCGAAAAAACAAACAGAATAAATAAAATGTAACTTTTACGTATTATAATTGTATCAATCTGGTGTTTTTATATCATCAAAACCAATGAAATATCGAAATATAGATATTTTTTTCAATAGGTAAACAGTTCATTTAAAGCCAAAAGAATACTTGTGAGTGTTAAGATATTAATTGGAGAGGTTAAGCATAATTCTACAATGTATACACAAGGACCACAAAGAATTTGAATGCTATCAATACTAGCCGACGTATTTATAACAGTGAGTGTGATGTATCGTAAACGCTTGTCGGTTTCGGATTCATCCACTAACAAGCCCATTCATCTGGAACAAATAATTGACCAACTATTCCCATAATCGACATGGACTGCTAACCGGAATATGATTAAGCAGTCTAATCTACCTTCCTCTCCCCGGGGATAAAAATTGTAAATCATATCTTATCCTATAATTAGTCCGGTTATTTTTTCCAGTTTACCAAGTCTTATCTTTTTAAGTCCGTCATTTGTGAGAATTGCAGTTTTATAGGCTACAGCTACTTAGTATTTAGATGAAAATAAGTCGATCAAAAGATCTTAATTAAAAGACAGGGGCCTGGTAATCTATTCGGTAACCAAAAAGGGTTTCAACTCTTTGCGGCTTGATTCAAAATATGACTTTTCACATGTATGTTCATTGATTTGGTTTTTAAATTTTCGATATCACATCAATAACAAAAGGTAAATAGAGAAGTTAGTTTATATCATCTTTTTATTTGCGTCAAGAGAAGTTTAAGTGTATTTCGTGATCAACTTAGGGTACTCGGCAGAGAACTCCATAACTGTAGGCGATCAGCCAGTTTTGAAGACCTTGGGTTTTTGATTTGGGATCGACATCAACCCAAATTCTGATGAGAGAACGTGAAGCGTCGTTTTTGTAAGGATAATCCGGGAACCATATTCGATCAGGTAGGGTGATATTTTCACCCATAGTGAGCACTACTTGATTTTCCTAAAAGTAAGTAATTGAGCACCAATGAGTAATATGCAGATAAGATCGTAAATAGAGCAAGTTTCTTTTCTGCAATAAATCAGTATGTTTTTTTCCCTTATCAAGTTTGTATTAGATATATCATATAATGCTAAATCGCAAGTAACCTATTATAGTTCTTAGAAAAATATAAAGCTTTATAGATACAAAAAGCATTCTGAATGTAATTTCGAGCTTTTTATTACGTAGTATAATGACAAACTAACTGGCCTAAGAGTTATATTTTTTGAATTACACTTGGGGCAGGTATGCCAATAGATAGTGAGTCTTACCGGAGACGTAATACAAAGTCAACACAGCCAACAAAAAACGACTAGCCAAAAGAATTTCCTTAATCGAAACGGTTTTACTCAATTACTCTATGGAAAAAGATTAAACAAAATTTCACCAAACTTTGCCAAAATAGCAGCAAAATAGCAATTAAATACGGGCGTATAGCAAAAATAAAACAACATAAAATAGCTCACTTTGTATGTCATCCCGGTCCACAGGAATATGCTAGGAAAGAAATGGGAAATCAAAATCCTTTTACGTATGTAATTGACAATAATATCGTAATGTGAGGCATCGAAAATATCAGCTATCACCCATCCTTGAGCTTTGCACGCCGATTCAGCTCCACTCAGATAATAGCTAGTACGGTTATTATAGATCACAACATAACATGTTGAGTTGTGAGTAACACCAATGCATGCTGCTAAAATACATAAAAGGAAAATTAGGTTAGTTCTGAGAGCTTAAAAAACACAATTTATTATTTCTGAATTTGGAATTGTGCCTAAACTTTTAAACAACTACAACATTTTTGTAAAAGTATTGACCTAGGTGATTATCCCTTCACAGTAAATAAAATTTTTCAAGTCTTGTGTCAACACCCACTATTCACTTTGCGGCAAATAGAATATAATTTGTACATGTGGTCGGTAGTGCATTAGTGACCGCATAAGTATCTTCTGTTAGTACATTTGTAGACGTTGGTAAAAACTAGCGACGTTACTTGTCATAATTTTATAGATTTTTATATTTATCTAAAAACAATTTTACCTACAATATACCTCCCAACCAAACCCAGGTTGCAACAAATTATGTTGGGAATTTTGAACCGAAGGGATAACGGTGGGTTTATTTAAAAATATTATATTTTCATGTATCTGTGAGTTCTAGTTTTTATAAATCCTTCGGAAGCATTTTTAAATGCAACAACCCTCCTTATGTATTCCAGGGTGCAACAAATTGGGTAGGTAATTTTTAACTGAAGCAATATCAGTTAGTTATTTTTCTGTAGGAGAACTATCTTGTTCATGTCTTGTACTTTCTGTAGTTGCCTTACTAGTGGTATCTTGCTGGGTTGTTGTTGAGGGATATTTCGCACCATTTTGATCAAGATCTAAAGAAATTGACAAATCAGCATTTGGATTGTTGGTTAAAATCGGTGTAAAGATGTCTTCAAGCTTTTTTCTCAATTCTGAATATAACATCCATATTAGCTTTCAATTAAATATTATTTTTAGTTACTGTGAGATGTTGTAAAAAAAACATAAATTTACCTTGACTGTAACTGTTAAAATAATTTTATATCTATTCCGATATCCATTTTGTTGAATTTTTCAACAAGAGCAGTACAATTGACGTAAATATGATTTTATTCCTAACTACAAGCTATTATAAATCTTTCCGGTTACGGATATTAATTTTCGACTGCTGACGGGCGACTTGAGGTTTCGACTCTAGACGCCTAATCCAAGATTCGACTCAAGGTGCCTAATCCCGGACTCGACTTCAGACTTCCACTCCAGATTTTGACTCTGGTCTCAAACCACAAGTTTGGATTCTGGGCTCGTACTTTAAGTTTCCACCACTGACTTCCAGTCTATGCTCTCGACTCTAGACTTTCTCTCTCAACGTTTTGACTGCAGACTCTGACTCTACATATGATTTGGCTCCATAGACTCAAACCTTAACTGCTAATACAGTTAGTACAATACAATCAAGTATACAATACCACACACTATACAATCAAAGAACGTATTACGACAATGGAGTGCTAATCCATTATTTGTAAGCCTTATTTGTAAATAAAATGAAAAACATTCAGTGTGGTAATTAGCAGAACAAGCCTAATAACTCGATGCCCCTTTATGTGTTTTAGAATATTAGTTTTAGAATATGAGAGGTTTACTCACCTTCTTCGTTGTTTGCCTGAAAAAATTATAAATATTGTTTTAATACGAGGTTGATCTAAGCTCAAGGCAGTAAATCAGTAGTCGCCCTAACATTTCTCCTTTGCTCCTGAGGTGGTTCGTGTCATTGCTTTGAGCTAATATTTGGAAGAAAATGTTTAACTGCCATTGGAATGTATGTAGATGTCGATTTAGCATTTGTTTGACCAAGTATATTGCAAATGAGATCATACCTCAAAAGTTATTTCATGGCTTTCACCAGTGCATTGTTCATTATTTTCTGTTGCTTGAGCTGTGTATATAGAAAATACATGCATTTATATTTTTAGAGGCACAACAAATAACAAAGTGAGAGGGCCAATTTTTAACGTATTTTTGAATTTTGAAATATATTTTTATGCTACCAGCATGAAAATATTTGGTTTTTTATTGCTTGATAACTGTAATAATCTCATTATTAGCGTTATTACATAACGGTGATTTTTCGCCTCATTTTACACGATAATCTATTTCAATAATATCTTTGAATCGAAGCACAAAAATGCCAACAAGAATGCGCAGTCGATACTTTATTACTACACATTACATTGTTTCTGATTCTTGATTCAAAAGCCTATTGGTGTAAATATTTAGCCAAGAGGTACTTACCAATAACAGATGTTGTCGCGACAAGCAAAATTACTGCTACAAAGCAGATTTTCGCCATTATACCTTCCTGCTCCATTCCCCAGAAATCTAAACACTGAAGTGCGGGTTGCGCATACTCAACAATTACAGATCTCCAATACATTTAAAAAGTATGGAAAAAAGGAGTTAGAGGGTAGGGTAGAGTTTCGAAGACTTGTGTCAGTAAATAATTTCAATAGCCGTTAGAATATCTGGTTACTACAATAGACATTATACGCATAAATGTGGAGAACTTACTGTTCTCATCACGGCACAAGTTACATTAGACCTTGATTGATATAAAAATTACATAAATTTTGTGGCTATATTAAACAATGAATGAGTAATTTCTTGAGGCTAATTTGTGTCATTCAATTTCCTAATTAGTTTCCACTCCAACGCAATCTGATACCAGGTCTCGTGGCTTATACTCGAATTGTGTTTTGTTAATGCATATGTCATACTTCCTTCTATTGCTTAGAATATGAATTATATGTCATGTTGCATGAAGGTTTGACTAAGCTTTGACCGCATTTAAATGACAAATTTGATCATAATAAGATGCATTAAGTTATCGGAGTAAAATTTCATAAAATATCGTTTGCATCCTTTTTTTAAAGCCCTTCCCTTCGCCAAATTTGGAAATCCTCTCCCCGTCCCTTCACTATGCCAAAAACTACTTCATTTGTCCAATCTTAGCCCTGATAGCACTGAGTTTGGTGAAAATATTAGAATTCGAGCAATCCGAAGGTGGTCAAGAAATAGAGGTGAATAATCGAATGTTGTAGGCAGAGCCGTAGCCAGGAATTTTTAAAGTGTGGGGGTCTGAAATTTGATACACATAGCACATATTTCCACATTAAAAAAGGGGAGGGGGTTCCGACCCACAAAACCCCCATTCTGGATACGCTCCTGGTTGCAACAATCGCGAAGTAGTAGCCATCCTTTCACTTCTTCCATCTTATTCATAAAGTATTGGCAATTTGAATGGGGGTTTCTCACATTAGTCGCAAATCAAATCTATTTTTGCTATCAGCTACAATCACCCCATCAACAAAAATTTATAGAAACGATCTATGGGTCTACTATCTATCCAATAAGCAATAATATATTGCCCCGTACGACACTAAAATGAATATTTTATGTAATTTCGTTTTTCAGTTGATATTACTGTGTAATTGTTTTTGAGTTTGTTTAACCATTTGATAGAATAATAGCTTATCTGTGATTGAATTCAGTTTTGACTCAAAAAAGTCAGATCGTTGCAAGGGCACAATAATATAATTTGAAACTTATCGTCATTTTAATTATGACTTCATTATTGCCTGGATCTAATTTAGTAGATGGATGTGATTTACACTTCGAGCAATTTGCCTTCAAATGAACTAAGATTAATCGATCATAATTCTGGAATAGGAATAACGAATATAGTTTCCAAACGACTGGAGGAATTTATTGACCAAAATTTATTATTCTACTTTATTTCTATCCACTTTTCTGACTAAATTTGAAGTGTAAAATGATTACAATTTATTGAGAAATTTCGGCCACCATATCCCAATTTATGAACATATTTGTTATTGCCAAAACTTGTGGTAAACTATCAAACCTCTGCAACTACCCATTTGCGCAAAGCGATGTCACAATCAAACAGTAAAAGTAAAGTGAATTCATCTCTTAGTAAAGTAACGGTCTTTCGCTGAAATGGCAAAAGTATTTCTCTTTAACAAAACGATTTTAGTATTTTTGCTTTTGAGCTTTACATTAATTAATCCACAAAGTCTTAATGTTCGATGCAATATTTTATAATTCGAATATTTTGATCATTTATGAAAACAAGATTAATAATGAAAGTGACAAAAAAACGAAAATATTCTCTGAATTAAATAAGCATAAATAATAAAACAGCAACAAAAATCTAAAATATCAATTTTTGCGTTTAATTTCCAATCGTATTTAATAATCATGCAAGATGAGGTAATTTGATGCGGCAAATTTGTGTCATTTGATTGCCTAATCAATTTCCACTCCAACGCAATTTGATACGAAATCACATGACTAAAACCGAATAAAATATTTGCTATGCATATGTCATACTTCTTACTATTGCGCAGAATCTGAATTATATATCATATTGCGTCCGTATTGAAATGTAAAATTTAATCATAATCAGATATATAAAGTTATCGAATTAAACTTCTATATTTTTTTAGAACTTTTTTTCATAAAATCCTTTCCGTCGCCGAATTTGGAAATTTTTATTCCTTCCTCATTATGCATAAAACTACTTCATTTGTTCTACATTAGCCCTTCAACTCGATATTTCACTAACAACTACAATCACCACAACAACAAAAGATAATCAAAACTATCCATTGGTCTACTATACGTCCAATATGTAATAACCCAATGCAACACTAATACCACTAATACCCTAATGCAACACTAAAACGCAATTTTTATGAATGTTCTTCTTATTTCAGTATATATTATGTAATTGTTTTTATGTTTGTTTAACTTGATAGAGTAATAGCTTATCAGTATTTAATCATTTTTGAATCAGAAAAGATCAGATAGTTGCAAGGACACAATAATATATATGACAATTGTCGTCAATTTAATTAATTATGATTTCATCATTGTCCTAATTTGACCCATAAATTCCTAATGTCCAATGCAATATTTTACACTTCAATTATTTTAATCATTTATGAAAGCATGAGAAAATGACAAAAAAATATTCTCGTGATTTAATATGAATAAATTACAAAATTCCAAATTATTAATTTCGGATTGCTGTTAAAAAGCATGCAAAATGATTATATTAAAGAGACGTAGCTAGTCATTAGTAAAACGTTCTACATAGACTAGTCAGCTATCAAACTTTACCACTTATAACGTCTTCAACGCATCATGTGTAGCACTGAACGTGATATTTTTAATTTTTCCATTTTTTATCGAGCATAGATATATCGTATCATTCTATTATTAAACCAAGGATTACTATGAGTTCTTTTCGCGAACCAACGACTGTACGTTAACTTATAGTCTTATGCTCGACAGGGCTCAAAACTCGCCACGGGAAAAATTTATTTTTAAATTACACAAAATTTATATGGTTGCGAAGTAGAAAGTGGACAAGGTAGGAAGAACTGAAATACAACACAACACTCTATTACTCCTTGTATTGGAATGATTCAATGTTGAATTGTTCATTAGAACGAGTGTTCGTAATATATAATATATCATGGATTTTGCTGTTTAGCTATATATTGGCATGGCTATGAGAATTATATACAAAAAATCATTTAAAAAACAGAATTGAAAAATAATTCAGCATTACAAATTTTATTTATATTTATTACTATTCTAAGATCTATTTATTTGTATATCTGATAGTGACACCACATTTAGGTCAAAAAATGAATTTCAATTGTACGAATATTTAAAAAATTAGGCAGAATTAAGTTCGATAGTTTCTTTAAATTCCTTCATCTCCGTATCCATAAGAATGGTTGATCACGTATCTTGGTTCATGACTGAAAATAAACATAAAAATATTTAGTTCAATACTTTTGGTATTATGATGACAGTCAACTCGATCACATTGCATTTTCAAGAAATCTTGCCCATACCAGGGTCACGTAAACTTACTCTAAAGCGGTGGTTCTCGAACTTTTTAAACCGCGCCCCTTTTTAAAAATTTTCAAGTCTCCTTTGAGAACCACTGTTTTAAAGTGAAAAAGACTTATCTTTATGCAAAGGTACGAGGAACCATCTGCAAACCGCAAATGTAATCAGGAACACATATATTAGGCGGTAAATTTCACATTAATACTGTATTTGGAAAAAAAATTAGTGAAAATGTTCTTTGCATGTAGTGTTGCATCTCACAAACAGTCGTGTACAACGGATGGCAAAAGCAATTTTGGGAGAGAGCAGTTTTAGCGCATATAGATCAACAGTCTAAATTCTTTCTGTCATTAGAAGATTTCGTGAATAAGACCAATTGATCTATCTAATTCTAGAAATTTCCAAAGGTCAGCAAATGTGTTACTCGATATTATTTCAAAAATTTTAAAATTCCTGATATTTTTATTTTGAAAATAAGATTATTTAAAAACAATGTCCTAATCATATTTATTTTTCAAAAACAATTTACCTGATATTATTTTGAACCGTCGGAACCTGTTTCATTTTATTGCTATTGGAGGACGCCACGGCACAAATGAGGAAAGCCATGAATAAGAATATCATGGACGATAATGTTACAACAATGATAACAGTGGTTTTGACTGTGATCATTCCTTTGTTGTTGTTGTTGTTGTTGGTTTCTTCCTTGAAATCTTCTGCGTCCGATTCCTTCTTCATTGGTTCCTGATCGGAAGTTTCGTAGACTTCCGGGGTCAGGAGAGGTTGAAGGTCACGGGCGTTTCTGATAACGGGATTACGAAGTTGAGCCGAAATCTCGTTGCTTCCATTTTCAAATGGACGCATATCTGTAAAAAATAAGGATAAGGGTTATAGTGTACTTTTTGATATGAATGGAATATAGAAAAAATACTCCCTTATATGATATTGCCTCATGGGCTTACTTGTTATTTATACGATACATTATGATATTTACTATACATTTATTCCAAGTCAGGGATAATTAATAAAAAAAATCCATCATGAATGTAAAAAAAATAGTAATCTTACAATATATATAAAATATACATAACTAAATTTACGTCATAAAGAATGACGTCATCGAGTCCATTTTCTTGTTCTGGCGCAAGCAAACTCCAGCTCGTCGGCCCCTAGCCAGAAATAGCTCAGGGAATTTGTTGTGATTGCGATTGAATTCAGTCTTGGCGCGGATCATATTGTTTTTAACTTTTACTTTTGTAACAAAATAAATATTGTTAATAAAATGTGAACTTTACGTCACACTTACATTTCCCGCCAGTCTATATCGGCAAATATTTTGACCCCAGGTCTAAAAACCTTGGCCACCCTCAGTCCAATTAATAAAATTGCCCATATTTTATACCATAGTTCTTTTATACATACCGGTAACTTGTACAGAGAGATATAGTACGTCATGTTTGAGATATCTTCTTCCAACACTTGTTGTTAGTCTTGTATTCGATATGTAGTGACTGTATCCTACAGCATTATTAAATGACTGAAATAAATTAGTAAAAAAGTTAGTTACAATGATTTTATCAGCTGCAATGACCACGCATAATTTGTTATACTTGTATTTGTATATTTATTATTTTCACAACGCATATTAATTTTACATGACGGAATTAAATATCTGAATCTGGTAAAAAAGCTTATCCCAATCTACTCGTATGTTATAGTATATTATGTAGGCATTGACAAACCAAAAACATATTTTCTATCTTAAATTAGGATTTTACAAAGTGGGTGTTGCTTGTAAAGCAGATTCTAATTGGACATGCTTCTATAATTTCTACATTTTTGTGCAAAGATTTTTCAAAACGATTATTTCCTTTTAATGCTTTTAAAAGCATTTTCAATCTTTATTTGTATGTTCTTCATGTCACGTCTGCCTTGTTTAAAAGTATACCGATTGTATATGAAAAATTAACGTGTTTAATTTGATCATCACAACGAAATTCAAAGATTGTGCATTCCTACTTACTCCTAAGCCACCCGGCTGTCTGAAAGCAGCAAAATCAAGCGATGTAGCATCTGTCAGGAAGTTCAGATAATAGTTCATTCTAGTCAATGGATTTGGTCCCTGGTCTGTCACCACAATTCGGACAAATTGCTTGTCAAACGGCCATTCTAACTCATTGTCATATTTTCCACCCACAAGACGGAAATAGATTGCCATGTAGTCTTCGTATCCTTCATCAATTGCTGATTGTTGACCGTTGGGGTAGATCTAAAAGTTTCAGAAATATGGTTGAAACTGTACAATTGTAAGTAAATATAGTCACATTCACTTAAGTTTTTTATTTTTTATAACGGCTATACAAACAATGCGAATCGTCCGTTTTTGATTGTTTACCATTGCGATTAATATTTAATATCGAAATTCACTACATTCAAATATTTTCTATTTATTTTCTTTAATTCATTGTATGAAAATATTTTTATTTTCCATTATGATATATTCAAAAACCTTGAATGTTTTTTTTTTTCAAGTATTTCCCTAGTTTAAATATTTTTCTGTTATTAAAAAAGCCTTCGATAACTAAATTTTATTGCCAATATCACTGGGTGACCCAAAAATAGAAACTAAGTTATGGAACCTATACTGAAAAGATTATAAATTTTGTGCAACTTGTCCTACACTACTGAAACCTTTGGAGTGCAATCATATTTAAACAGAAGTTCAAGGTTTTTGTTGAATTGAGGAAGAAATGTATGTTCTGTGTTCTCTTGGTCACTCTGTATATTTAAATATTTTATCAAATGCATTTTACCAGAAGTTGAAATGCGTATCCAGGATTTCCTGTATACATAATGTGACTCGCTGAATATTCGTCGACGGAATACGATTCAAGCAGACTTGAATATTGAGGAATCATAAAATAAGAAGAGTCGCATTCTTTGTCAACGATGCTTACGTCATCAATGGCGATGATGTCATTATAATACCCTCCTGTAATGAAAATATTAAATGTAGATAAAATTCAAGGACTCGTTTTTTTATTATTTATCTTAAAAGGAGGGTTAAAAGGCCAATAAATACTGTGCCGATTTATACTCGGATAATATTTGCATTTTTAAATGTGGGGACAAGTGATGTCGAGTTTTCATGATTTTGCTGGAGTCCGAGCCGTAATCGTATTTTCAAAATTCCCAGAGTCAGGAGTGAAATTCTGTTTTCCCTGGAGATGTTATTTGGAGGCAAAATCGAAAGCTTTCAATGCAGATTACATTTTTTTTTAACTCGGTTTCAAGAGCCAGAGTCACAGCCAAACATTACAATTCGGAGTTTAATGTGAGTTTTATTTGAATCCCCCGCCATCATGATGACATCAAAGTTTTTTAGAAAAATTTGTCCATTTGTTGGAGCCACCTCGCCCAGGATATAATTAGTTAAGCAATACCGACTGAAATATTTCAGGTTCTCTCAACAAATAACAGCTTCTCACGTTTGTTTAGAGTGGAAGTGATAAAACGCCTTATAATAAATGGTGATGCCTGATCTCAATACAGTGAGAAATTACGTTACTTTCTATGTTTATCAGTCTACATTTAAATAGTCGTTTTATGCTAAGCTTTGAAACAAAAAAATTAACAAAAAGAATATTTACTGTGAAAATATTATATTGGGTGGTTGAAATAAGTTTACAATAACTGTTAGCTGCTTGTCTGAAGAAATCTAATTTTCGACCTTCGCAGTCGGTGCATTATGAATCCACTAACACAAAGTTTAAGAGAATGGAGCAGTACTTAGAAACAATCTAAAAACTTTAACGAGTATTACCTGTTTTTGCCCAGAATACCAATCTGAACACTTCAGGTGCTGAAATTGTCATTCGTTCCACATTCCATTCTGATTCATGAGTACCGAGGTATTTGCCACCAAATGTCATCAACGGATCACCATAAGATGTTATTTCGCCAGTTATAGGATCTATCGATGCCAAATATAGCCTGAGGAGAAGAAAGGTTGAATATTAACGAAGAGTTTTTCAAAGCTTTCATGACTAAGTATATGTTGTAGAACGTAATTTAAAATTTATCTGTTGTGTTTGCAGGATATACCAAGCCAAGTTTTAGAAAAATACCGAAAAATACCGACAAACCAACGGGTTTGTCAGATTGATTATCTCAAAGTAAGACACATGATCGTCATTACATATAAGCCCAGTCCGTAAAGCATATTCAAACGAGATTCCAAATTAGGCAAAATTTAAAACGGTCATTTTTAACTGAGCTTCTTTTAGTGTACCCCGATATATACTTACGCCATAGATGCACCGCTTTCATCGTTCAAGTTGATGTAATGTGAAAACTCCAGACATTGACGAGCTACTGTTGTTGCGTAGCGCATGGACTTCATTTGTCCCGTGAGTCCTGGAAACTTCGAAGAGGTATCCAAGTACATAAAACTGCCTGCAAATAGGAAAATGTTTCCGTTTATAATTAACATTCTACCTTAAATTTACCCTGAAATGCAATTCTAATCTCAAATACTAATTCCTTTAACTATACCTTTAACTATATATTGATAAAGTTAAATATACATATTGATGCATGCCTATTTATGCATAAAACGATTATCTTGTTAAGTGACTCTATATTCGACATGAACTAGTAACCGGACGAGAGGCGTCACAAGAATATTGTGGTGTATGCTGATGAGTATAAGGAGTATATGCCCGAATGCAACTGTACGATTTTATGCTGGTATTTGTTTTAACTGTAAGTAATTAAATCTAAATATTGCCGAAATGTTCAAAATAAATATATTATCAAATTCCTAATACTATATTTACCGGTGCCTTCTTGACCAAATGACGAATCAAACTTCGGGAGATATTTGGTTGTTGGACCAGAGGCGTCTGAAGTGTCGATGTTATGTCTCAGCCACATGGTGTCGCTGTCTTCCATTGCGTAACCACCGGCGTTTGTTTCTTCGAAATTAACACTGTTCGTAATTCGTACTGTATCACCTAAAAATAAAACGATTATTTATTGAACAAGTTTATTCCTAAATAGACAGAATTTGCAGAATTTCATCATTTATAAAGGAAAAATTTATAAATAGACTCTGAGTTATATTGAGTCCGATTTCACTAAAAAGTTGGCTACTTTATTTTAATTAATAACACTTTTTCATCACATCAAGCATGTCCGTCGTTGCTCGACCTTATGAGTTATTGATATGGGTTTAGGCAAACAATTTTATACATATTTTTACATACTAAGGTCCCAGAGGTAACATTTTGATATTTATTTGAGTTGCTTCCTGCTTATTTGTTCTGTTTTTATGTTAATCATGGTACTTACTGCAGTCGTACATTCGGTTGATCTTGATGACGTCACCGGGACTGAATGTGCTTTGTTGACCAATCACATCTTGGAATTTTGGATCACGTGTTCGAATCGTGTTGTTGCCGTTTTTGCTGAAATAGAAATAACGTCGCAATTCTTATTAATTCTGAATTCTGCATTGATAAGATATGATCAAATATATCATAACCTATAAATTAGCCACATAGACTGAGGGTATGAAAATAAAGTCGCAACCTTGTCGAGTATGATGCAAGCAAATATTTTCAAAACTTTCAGTTTTGGCGATGTCTTTAACCACATGTTGTAACTACACAATCATCAACTTCGATCTGATAGGAATTTTTTAAATAACATTGATACGTTTGCGCAACAACCCTTACTTTCACTTTATTATAGACAAATACGTAAAATGCTTCGTTACTGGTCAGTTTTGATATATTGAATCGAAACATATTTTCAAAATATTTACTATTAAAAAATATTACTTAGATTAATTGCTATCTTTTAAACTTACGTGAACGCTGTTTTTCCATAATGCATAACCGAATCAAAATCATATGCGATTCTCCTATTGTCGATTTCAGTGTAGTCATAATTGTTGAAGTTGTTTACAGTATCTGCAAAATAATTGGCCTCTTTAGCAGTTGTGGGTATAAAATCACCAAGCACTGATTCCCTCATTTTATAAAAGGTATGTGTGTTACTACGTTAGATACGTTTACATAAAACATGGTACATAGATCTAATACATAACATTAGAAACGATAAATGTAATGCGAGTCGTCAGCGGCGGTGCACTTTAACCATGTGCTACAGTCATCAAACGTCATATGAAGTTGCTATTGAAAGCATAAGTGACCCAGAAGGTTTCTACCGTATTTATGATATTTTAACATTTTTAGACAAGGAATTTTGTCGCCGCTGGAAATTTATTGATTATATAAAATTCTGCGGGATCTCTGGAATACGTTTTTCTTTTGGAGTTTTGGATGATTACGTCATCAAAATTATAAATTGCGCATCGTGTGGCAGTTCCTTGATTGCATTTCAGCGATCCGGTGGTCTGCCAATATGGGTAATTTTGATTTATGTTAACTGTCTGTCTGTACTGTAAACATTTTGATAACAATTCGTTTTGCCTCCGTGTCAAAATATTTGAGCATTGATCTTTTGTTTACTTACTGGGGGTGATGTCTCCCCACATAATCTGTACATATTCGTCCCTATCGGCTCGTGATTGTTCATGCCAAATTCCTATCGCATGCATCATCTCATGTTGCACTGTGTACATTTCTTCGCATCTATCTCCAATTGAAATTACCTGACCGCCTCCTTGCATTCCAATGCTCGAGAAGCATCTGTATAAAGAACGCAAATATAATGACACACAAATGCATTATCTGTTCTGGTCTTTGTTTATTGGTTGACTAACTACATTACCACGAAGTTAAATCGCCTATTAAATATATATAGGATAGGATATGATTTACATATTTATCCCGGGGAAAGTGAAAGCCGACAAAACGGTACTCCCGTAGTATGTGTACCAGGTTAGGGTTAGGCTATAATTTTATTCCGATTCTGGAGCGTCAACAAACTGGCTTATGGTGAACTATGGCATCTCGTGCGGTTTCCTGTCGATGTTTGGGTATGAAATTAGTTAGCCAGTTTTTTGTTTTCGTAAGCATGGACTTGATGGTGGAGGAAGCCATGACTAATCAGCGGATACGTGAACCATCCTACGATTGCGAGGACACCCTATATATAACATAACAGTAGGTAAGTTAGCTCTAGATCAGAGCCTTGTGCAAAACAAAAAAATATCGTTAAACTTATCACCGAGTGTGAGGAATTGAGAAGGCAGTGCTTGACCTGAAGTATTCTGGCTAATCCGAAAATAGTAACTTTTTATCCTTAGTGGAAGCTTAGACAAAGATTTGATTGTTGAAAGTGTAGGAAAAGTGGTAAAAAATGGTCACAAACGTACCCGTTTAAACGTCGAAACGTTATATGGTTTGTCTCATTGGTCCTTGCAGGAAAACTCAGACATGTTCTCAATTCGTATTCTCTTCTGGCTTCGTCAATCGCTGCTCTTCCCTGAAAACAAATGATTGTGATGAAATATATAAAAATGACATCAATTTTTGATAGAAAATTGATTTAACATAATAATCAAATTCAAATAAATACTTAAATTTGATTAATGTGAGATTTAATGTATTTTGGAAGAGAAACATACGACAAGAAATTTTGTAGCATAGTATGGGCTAAGCAAAATTATTTGGGTATAGACATACCGAGGTGCCAAGTAATTGGTCTTTTCGAAACCGTACGAGATCTCCGACCTTTGGACTGTTTTCACTGGAATCGGAGCCGGAGTCGACTTTTCAAAATCCGGTGTCGGAGATGGAGTCGAAATTAGGAATTGAAGTTGGAGTGAGATTTCAGATTTTCGATAGTGACTCAATTGAAAAGTCTGGTGTCTTACACTAACATTTTGTTATTAAAAATTGATTTTATCGAATTTTGGATCTAAAGTTGAAGCTGAAATTTTTTTTACAAATTGAAATCGTCAGATTGGGACAAACTTTTTTTCGAGGACAATGGTAAATTATCCACAACGCCACAATCATGTTCCGTAGGAACTAATGATCAAGATTTGCTTTCAACAAAAGTGAAGAACATCACATAAAACATAACGTTTTTTAAAAAAGAGGAAATCCTATGTTTCAAAATATTTCAAAAAAATGTCATAAAAAAACGACGAAGAATGGATGAAAAGCTCCAACCACTAGAGCTCTTTATCAACTAAAACAAATGAGTAGCTCTTCCTTTGTGGATTTAAACTTTGTGTTTTGAAATGCAAAATATTCCTAAAATCTTACAAATAAGTTAGTTCCGTTTGCAAATGCCACTGGAATGAATTTAGTTGGCCAGAACAATTCAGTAAATTCGTCTAGTATCGTGTTGCGTGTTTCTTTCTTTGGTTTGATAATGTCGCCTTCTAAAAGTTCATCGAGGACTCCTGATTCTGTAAAAATCAGACAGAATAGTTGGAATATTTTGTGCAAGTTCTCTCAAAACTAACGCTGGCGAACTCAACGAAAAATAGCTAACTGAGACTGATAGTAGAGTTACAAGTACCCGCTATAACTAACATACTTAGTTTTAAGTTTGTCATGAACAGAACTCAAATAAAACAACTTCAAGAGTAATCTGTAAATTAATGATGATGGAAGAGAATTCAACAAGTTGTGTTATTCTTTCTTTATTAGCACTTTTCAACATTGTATAAATAAGTAAAATTAATAACTAATTCCTTTGAACATTTACAAACGATATGAACAATAACATACGGAAAGACGTTAATAAAAATTTTAAAATTTTGATATGGTCTCATTTTGAAGCAGCTTCGAGTCGCGCTTCACTGAAATCTCAAAAATACAAATGCTATTGAAATCTTCAAAATCGTTTCATTTTTTGATTAAAAAAAACTCTTTATTCCGCCCTTTTCTGAATAATACTATCATATTAATTTAACAATTAAGCACAATGTGCTATACTCAAGCAAAGTACTTAACAACTATAATAACTCTGAAAAATGCCATTTATTCAAATTTTAGTTTTTCAAAAAGCTTACAATGATACGTAAAAAAGCAAACCTTCATTCACTTTAAGAATTCCTGGGTGAACACCAACGTCAATTGTTGACAATTTTTCTGTTTGTTTTTCAACTAAAAATGAACAAGGTATAATATATTTGTTACATTTCACCCGAAAGTCTCGCTGCGTACTAGCACAAATATTGTTCCCCAACATTTGCATTATACGCATATGGATCCATTAGCGCAAATGTTCATAACAACGATAGCGAGTTATAACTACGTCGGATATACCACCTAAAAAAAATTTTTCAAATTACAAGCGCGTCTGTGGAGGACGCGTACCCTGATCATGTTTGTATAAATAAAGTTAGGATTCCAGTAAAATGTACCATACACATGGGTTCTATACTGCACAGAGCAGATCGAAAAATTGAATATCTGCTTGAACAAAGTCTTGTTAGGAGAGAATACTTTCAAAAACGTAACGCCATAATTAGTTACATTCATCGCTGCCTTCAGCTGATGAAGGAGCATAAAGAATGGAATTTTTATTTTACTCGCAAAGGTAATTCAATCGGTATTCGTCAATACGCACTTACTGGTTGGTTTGCAGGCGGCCGCACTGTTAGCATTCGTGCAGGTCCAAATAACCTTTTTACTAGTGTCTGGTTTCGTGATATGATACTTCTTAACAAATATTATGCTTTTACTTCTGTACTGGTAATACATTACTTACTTGTGTATTCATTTTGCACCCCTTGCTCTGCATAACTTTTCTTTTCCCCAGCAGAAGCAATATATTTGCAATTCGCCTAAAAATAATATTTTTTAATATGTTAAATACAACAAAATTCATTTCAAATTTTATGCGAAGTCAATTTGATGAACAATCACCAATATCAAGTAAATTCATATGAAAAGAATAATAGTAATCGGTCACTAAAGAAAATTGGATATTCACAAATGGTAATTTGCCTTAGTGCTAAATACTCAGTGTCAAAATTAACTCAATTTCTATGAAAACCTTTAGGCATTTCTAAAATAAACACTAAATCGTAGATTTTTGCATGAATCAGATTTCTTTATGGTTGAGATAAACAATCGCTGCATTGGTTAAATAGTCCATACGAAAAATGTTTCAAACAAAGTTGAACATTCACACCCTATGCCTATACTATAAATTACACAGAACGTGTTATTACCCAGGAATCTAAACCCAGATCGAGGGAACATATCTAGAGACAACATAACTCTTAACTAATTTTTAGGTATTAGGTAACAAATAGGTACTCTGCATATATAAAGAAAAATAAGATAGATATTTAACTCACCCCGATGATGAACGTCAACAACAAAAGAATAATAAACCTCATCACGAAGTTTAATGGCAGTAGAAATTAGTTTTAGTATCTGACACAAAACAAATTGAATTTTTTTTAAAATGGTTTGAGCTACAAAAAATATGATTACGTAAGTGACCTTGCTAAATAAGGGTTGATATCAAACATGAAAAAGATTAGCTCTGAAAATGTTATATACCTTAACACAAAACATATCAATATGCAAAATATTTCATTTTTTTCATTAGTTTGCATCAAGTTCGAGTCGTTAGCTCTCAACCACAACGCCCTATTCTTCAAAAAATTGGAGAAGGCACTCCACAAAGTACGATATGTTAGAAATCTAGATCAAATTTCGAGATGAACTGCTAATTCTTTTTGCTATAGGTTATTTATTATCTAGGAACGAAATGAAACTCTAATCCATGGATTCAATAAATATCTAAACTCTTTTTATAACGTTTTCCTAAGTTAAATATTTCCTATTTTCACATATAATATAAAATCAAAACGTATGCCTATATTCGAGATCGAAGTTTTCCTAAATCGATTAAAAATCAATTGGTATTTCACAAATGATAAAATACAAAACTTATGCAATTTTATTTCTATAAACTCTTGAATTTCCCATGTTTCTAAATTCTCCTGAACGAAGCTGCGTATGGATATAGCATAACGTAGAACAAAATCAATTCATCCCGCGAGTCTGTATCGCAATCAACGAGATTTTAAATTTTATCATCGCATTATTTTACGATGTAGACTTCGACCAGCTTTAAAAATTGCATGCGTAATGTCCACAAACAGTTGTTGGAGCAATTAATCATTTTTCAATAAAACAATATACTTGTATAGGGCAAACTTTTATTAAAAATGCTATCAAAATTGATTTGCGACTTCATCAATGTTCCAATAATCATACTGTTAGGAATTTAACATTAACACTATAATTAGCATTAAAATTGATTTTCAAGATTTAACTTTTAGTTTTGATGGGATGTATAAGCTCGTTAATAACATAGTAAGGTTAGACATTTGTCCTCTTTATAACTTGATTTCGTCGAAAATATGGTAAATTTGCGGTTCTCTAAACAGTGTTGTGGTCGTGTTAACAAAGTAAACAACGATTATTTAACCAATGTTCTGCATCGTGAAGGTCCAAGCTTTTACTCGAACTTATATTGTCCGGTATATTTATCCTCCTGGCTCCTGGTTATTCTTTCGAGATTTAGATAAAAACTCGTGAATGTGAAAAAATTTCAAATTTTTTTTTAATTAAATTGTAAGTTTTAGAATGCTGTTCAAGGTTAACTGGGTTGTTAAAAATATCTTGGGCTTTCAATGAAAATACTTTTGATAACTATCACCCAACAACACCTATGCACACGAAAAATAAAGAATACACGCACGGTCGAATACATAAAAATTTATTAAACTAGAACATGTGATAAATGTGTAATACAATGCAAATTGCAAATTAGTGAAAAACCTAAGTTGCTTTACTTAATAATACAGTAATACTGAGTAATACAGTCATGTTTGAGATAGCCACAAATTTCATGTTGTACTATTTTAATAGCATTTAATGTTTCTATATTAACAAAACCAAGCTTTATTAGGACTAAAGGTGCAACTAAGAAAGAAATTGAAGCGCTTGGTTCTATTTCATGGTATGTTAGTAAAATCTCTTCTACAACAATTGTGTTGTAAATGTTCATCAAGCTGATCTTTGTCAGCACATACCATACTCTACAAATATTTGTTTTGTAATATATTAAGTTAATCAGTTGATAAACAAAAGCGGAGTCTTCTATGACAGTCTCGTGGTTTTTGACTTAACAATCTTTGATTATACATGGGGCGCCAAATATCAGTGTATAATAGACCGTATTTGAATAAGATCATGATAACACAACATATAATAATATAAGATTATTTTATGCATACATGCTTGATCGACTCTGAAAGAATTTTAAGTTCTTTCTGAGAGAGGACCACTTATAGACAAAACTTCTGTATTAAAATTTATGTATTGGTTTGCTTGATCTCATAGCTGAATATTTGTATTTCTCTCGATTAGGAAACAATCGCAATTTGAGGTTTTACCTGTAACTATAAGTTGAGACTCCTGTGCTAGCGGAGCTTATCTTAGTTTCTATTTCTGAATTTGGTTTAAATCAGATTGACCGTTCTCGAAAGTAATTTCAGATAGTCGTGATCTCTTAATTTCGGTAGTGGTGCGTAGTGCAGTCCCTAAAATTATTCAAATTCAAGAACAACAACGGTCGTTTCAATTCGAAGTATGATGAGTTACCTAGATAAGTAAAACGGTAGGAAATGAAATGATTTCAATAAATTTAGTTTATTGTTTTGTTGATTTTTATCTTCAGAAACAGTGGCGTAGCATACACCCCCGCAACCCCCGCGATCGCGGGAGGGCCCACAGCGCAAAGGGGCCCAAGCGGTTAGAATTTAGAAATGTAAGTCGCAAAATCAAAAGTTGCATTGCAAAACCAGTAATGAACATCTAACGTTGATGTTAGTTCTGTTCAAATCGTTTTGTTACGTAACAATGCCAGGGAGTCGTGGATTTTGGATGTCTTGTGCTTTGATCGCACCGGCAAAATTACGAAGGCTGTCAGAATGAAGTCGAAAGCAAAACCTCTCAGTGGCGCACAGAAACGCAAAAAAAGGACTGAAGAAGGAGCACGTATGAAAAAAACTAAAGTAACCAAGATAAACGGAAAATTTTATGTTACCATTACCTTTTTATAGCGACATGTTATGCTTTTTGACGAAATAAAAGAGCGTTGTTTTAGCTTATGTCCGAGGGTTTTTAGGGTCGTTTCCATGAAATAATTTTGCGAGGAGGCCCACGAGAGTCTTGCTACGCCACTGTTCAGAAATATAGTTGCAAAACTAAGGATAGGTGAAATTAGGAAGTAATATTGACTGCACGCAATCATAGATGGATATTTTCTTATAACCACCATATACACATGAGTTACACTAGCTTTGTTGAATACTAGCTGGTGATATCATGACTTCAAGTCATCACAGTAGGGGTTTGGACTGAGATTTTCATACTAGTCAACACATGGATACCTGAAAACAGGCAGGCTTTTTAAATTACCTGATTACTCTATCATTCGAAATAAACAGTTAACATGGAATATTCACTCAAATATATTATTTCTTATTTTGCAAATTTTCCAGTTTCTCCACAATTGTCAGTGGGTTTTAAAGATCAGTTTTCATCTAAACTTTCTAGTTGGAAAATAGAAAGAAACAAGTATTTTTTTCACATGATACCCGATTTTTCTCTGAACATTCAGCTCGTGTGTAATATGTACCAGGTGTATTACTTTGTTCAGCCTTTTTCCGAACATTGTTGTTCAACAAATCTAATATTTGTATTTGGTTCTAGAAAAAAAAATTATTTTCCGAAAAAAATTAGCTTACATAAACACCCGGGATATTTCTGACAGAATGGATGTCAGAATATTCACCTATTTAGCAGCGATGCTGGCTTTATCTCAGGTAGGTCGCTTTATTATGATTTCTTGCAAATAAAAAAAATAATTTTCATGTACGTACTTCTACTTACTGAGTCTTGTTAAATCTAAAAACAGTTTTGTTCAAAATGTAATAATTAGTCGTAAGGTTTATGAAAACAAATAACACATGCTGTCAAAGATAGTGAAAATAAAATAAAATTATTTGATGGGTTAGAAAGCTAACAATAAAAATAAAATTACCATAATTTGTTGTTTTATTTCAAACTCTAATTGTATTTTTAATTGAAGGTCCAAACGAGTTTCTAGATTAAATATTTTTCAATTTTGGAGTTTTTGAATAATCGTTTTGTTTTTATTGTTTCTTTAGGCGGGAGTTCCGAGAGCCGGCTTGATGGGTCTCGACCAGAAAGGTCCCATTGCTCGAGTGAGAAAAACATGTAAGGTTTATAGTTTATTATATTAAATAATAAAATAAGCCAATGAACTTGCAGATGACGCGTTGACCAAATAAAAAATTAGGGCAAATAAATATATATTATGAAAAATTATAATGACTCAGAGATATGGAAGTTTCCTTTTATATAATGTCCCTCTCCTATATTACAGTGCGCAAAGACACTTCAACAGAACCGAAGGCTTTTTATCTCGATGAACAACCTGAAATAACAGACATAAACAAAGGTAAAAAATATTAGTGGCATGGTTATGTCTTTATAGAATTATATCAGTAAACGGAATTCTTTGGAATTGTTTTATGATCATTTCAATTGCCAGAGCAAATTCACTGATAGGCGATATTGAATTACTACACATGCTTAAAGAGGGAAACAATGTGTTCGAATTGACTGCATTGAATCATTCACATTGACAAAATGTTTTAAAATTGTCCCTTTAAAAAGGTTTTCAGTCGTCATACCCTGTCAATTATATGGAATTCAATACATTATTGATTATCTGATTATATGAACTCGCTAGTCCGTACCTTATTTGCTTTTCAGAGAGAGCGCGTTATCTTTTTGTATTCAATTTTCTTGTTAAAAAAACATTCTATTAATGAGAATCATGATTTAATCTTATTTAATTTGATCTCGTAACATAAATTTTAACAGTACAAGTCAACACGGTCAGAAAAGCATTTTAAGTTGTAGTGCAAATTACAAAAAGCATTTTTTTCGACTGATTCAATGGAAATTTCAATCTATCACCTAGTTTCAACTTTTGCTATTTTATTTGAATATTGACTAAAACTTTATGAAAAAAATTGGGATAATTTACAATCATCATCTGTTCCCAATAAAATACAATGTTAATTCCCATTTTCTAAAAAAGAATTCACATAATTTATTATATATCAACTTCAATTCTTTATTCCAGATCTTAGCTTACAAGAAGGCGATATCATGCAACTGAAACAACGTAATACATTGTTGAGTCCAACATACGAAGAATATCTGTGGCCGAAAGAAATACCAGTTATATACGATGGCACCATTAGTTTATTGGTATGTTTTCTTATGCAGAACTTTACTATATAAGCAAGGTATACATTCAGTTATACGAGTAGATAACTTCTAGATTAGGGACTCGTAATCAATGGTGTGATTCAAAATTGTATAAGTAAAGGTTTTCTTTTGTATCTTATTCATCATCAACGATTCCATCATTTTAGAAAATATATGTATGTCGCTGCTTTAATATAAAGTAATTTGACGTGCTTTACATAAACCTAACGCATTTTTCTCAAATTGCCAAATATAACAATATCCGTCAGCTGTGATGTGATAAACCCATTTCTGCAGTCGTCCAATGTTTAAAACAAAAACAATTACAAGTTAGCTTATTATCACGACACTTCAAATAACGGGTTCCCTACCACCTCATTCCCACGACTGTTTAGACCTTGTTTAGTTCTAACGCATTTAAGTGTTTCCGATACTCGTTACATGTTGCTTTATGTTGGAAATATACGTTTTTAACATACATTTTTATTTAAATATAAAACAATGTAACAATACGTCAGAGAAATTAGAAATTAAAAATCGAAATAAATGCCATCTGTCTGAAGTCATCAATGAGGTAAATCAAGTTATTAATTAGGTAAATCTCATTGGCGGTTTGTTTAGTACTATTTTGAGTAATTATATGCAGATGACTCGAGTGACTTCAAGACTTTGATAATTTGTGACTTGAGTCTGTCTCAGGTCTCCCCTATACTGAGTAGAAACCGATCGGTATTGGTGAAAATTCTAAAGTTGACATAAGTAACAACAGTGGCACGCACAACTGACATGACATACAGATTATTTGTTTTGTTCATGCGTAAGCGCTTGTTTACAGCCACCCAAAGCGAGGTCATGCAAACAGATTGCGACTCATATCTTTTGTTTGCATGGAAGTTACGAAATTTTGATTGCATTTAAACGAACTGTAAAATAACGTATGATTCATGGTAGTTATAAGTACATGCACTGAATTCCACGAAGAAAGTGATAAGCTTCAAAAGTTTATTTTCATGTGCTTCTCAAAATTTCATGATCCGTGTTCTCCCTCTCCAAACTTGAAACAATTAACATTTATGGCCCCTTACTTTTCCATAAAAAATATATATATATTTTAAAAATGATAAGCCAACGATCGAAACCAAAAAAATAAATTCAGTGTAGTAAGTAAATTGAACTAATTGCAGTCAATCAACTTCAAATGAATGTAGTCATTCCGAATGGTACAAATGGATCTTTTTTGTGAACTCCGGAAACTCGTTCCGAGGCCTCCTGGGAACCCATCATAATAAACCTGGTCAACACAGATACGCGTCATTCATATAAAAATGAATTACATACTGTTGCCAGTACCAGGATTTCTATTTCCTAACCTCTTTATTTTATTATATATAATCGTTATATTCATAGACGGCCGCTCACTTTTTTCTACATTTTATTTGTAGTATTCAATTTTCACATATATTTCGTCTTTCAAAATCTTTCTCTTGTGTTTTACAGGCAAAAGCAGCGATCGACGAAACCAGGAGAGAATATGAACTGCGAACATGTTTGTCATTGCCTGAAAGAACCGACGAGGAAAACTTCATTCAATTTACAACATTATCAGGGTAATGGGATAGAAGTTTTATATTTATCTTCGGGAGAAGAAAGTGATGGGACTTCTTACGGTCTCTCGTCCGGTTAGCGTCTAGGTCGAATTTGGGGATATTTATCCACTTATTTGTTCGAGAGGCGTGGACCTGATTTCATTAATTGAGTGTTGTAATATTGTTTCGGGACACGTATTGCTTAGTAAACTGTTGTTGTTGCTATTGTTGGCGTGATTGTTGTTATATGCTAAAAATAGTTTTCTTCGCCACTTACTGCTACTCCCTCGCCTTCTACTCCCTCCATGTTACGTGACCCCACTTGTAAAATATTTACTATTTGTATCATTACATTGATTATATTTCTTTTTGTGATATAGATGCTGGTCCTACGTCGGAATGAATGGAGGATCTCAGAACATTTCTATCGGACGAGGATGTGAAAAGATGGCTACGATTGAGCACGAGATTATGCATGCACTAGGAATATGGCACGAGCAATCGAGGGCAGATAGAGATGATTATGTTGAAATCGTATGGGACTATGTTGGGGAAGGTAATATTCAGTAAAATTCAAACCTAACCACCACTTTTTTCTTCCTAAATGATGGTAATACATTTTCACGGCTCCCATGCACTATTTCCTACATTTTGTTAGTTATCAAAATATAATTGTGTTCAAATATCCAGGTAGTGGCGTATATACAAGTGCAGGCGGTCAGTCAAATATTTAAAACATTTTATGATTTACAAACAGTTTCATTGTCAATAGCAAAATATCTAATACTCCATCCTCACTATGAACGAAAAACTGGGGAGCATAAAGTCTCGGAGTAAGCATGGCCAATATTCGGATATACGGTACACGTCTGACATTTTCGGATTTTCTGCGCGCCATCCAAAATATATTTTGTGGCTACATTGTGATGAACTGTCTTTTCCTCGTGTCACGTTTTTTGGCTACTTGGTTGCATATTAATCTAATATAAAACGAGAAACGTAAAACAAGATGTAGGCACTCCGCCACAGAAACCCGCCAGATATACTCCGTAAATTAAAGAAATGATCTTGATTGATATTGATTCTTTTTTATACTCAAATAATTGACCAAACTCTTGTTTCAATCTAGGTCGTGAACACAACTTCAATAACTACCCGTTCAATGAAACAGATGACAGAAGAGTGCCTTACGATTTTAACTCCGTCATGCACTACAGCAAGACCGCATTCACGTGAGTAATTAAATAAATAATTTATTTTGAATCTTTCATGGTATAATAAAAGTTTAGAATACACAAGACAAGTAGAGAAAATTGCGATCTACAAGACAATCACATAGAACGGCAATTCTGATAGCTTGCCAAAACTTTGAATGAGGTTTTAACATGAGGCATAAAAATTATACATGGCATTATAGATCAATGAGATGAAAATATTTGAATAAATCCACGCGTACCTTTCAATGAGTTTATATAATCGTGAGATAATATAATTAAAAAAAACTATACAAAGTGCAGCCATGAATCGTTTTGCTAATTAATTTATATGCGTTGACCTTTTTTTGTTTTTTTAATTAGCTTTATGTTGCGACTAATCTCTTTTCGATGTTCAGAATGCCGAAATTTTGACCAACGTTTTTTTTTAAATTCACGGTAGAACTTTTCTATGAATATGGCAACACTATTATGCCATTCTTATTCGCCCTTATATTTCGCAAAGTCATTGCTTTGCCAAGGCCTACTGTTATCGGTGCGCGACTTTTGGTCTGCCACTTTCATATTTGAGCTTTGTCCTCTTACTGTTATCATGACACGCTTTTCATATTAATTTCAAGAATTAGAAATGAACATATGCATCTTGCATGTAACATACTAAATCAATGTCACGTCATTAATCATTGATTATTAATTTGAAATCCAAGTTACGGTAAAAGGCCTATTAGCTATGCTTTTGTTTCTTTTTAAATGAAAAGTATCTCTCTTAGTAGAATCGTAATATTTACAAACTCTCACTTACAGAATCGATGGAAATACAACAATTCAAACGCGAGATCCAACATTTGAAGACGTCATTGGTCAACGCAGCACCTTCAGTCCTGGTGACATAACGAAAATTAACAGAATGTATGACTGCAGTGAGTAAAGGCTTTTTCATTTGAGTAACAAATTCATCTGGAGACTCCATTATCAAAATGTTCAATTCTAAATAAACAATGAATAATAATTAAAACGAAAATTTCAATGTTGTCACCAGAACTGCATACATTTAATCGCATTTTGCAACTTGCACAAAAACCGCGTCAAAATAGTCTTTGACTGGTACAGAAGCTTTGTGTGGCATTGATTCTGTTTTTTTATTATTATTATTATAATACCTTGAAAGTAGCGTAGTACTTTGGTCACAGCTGAATCATATATTTCTTATTGAATTTTGATTGAATTATACAAACAATGTTCACCTATTAACTTGCATACACTATTTGGGCGACAATGGGTACCCATTTTTCCAATTATATTTAGGCGACACCTTAAGAGTCAGCAATCATGTGAACTTCGATGAACAAAATATTGGCGGATTTTCACAACAGGGTTTGCAAAGCGACGCCAATGGTTGAAACATGATCTGGCGACATCGGATACTTCAGGAGCTACAACTCGATATTTGCCCACATTCGATGCAACGCTCGGCATAGAAGGAGAAGGTGGTCAACTTTTAATCATAGAAGATTTCAACTATTCCGTGGGCCTATATATGTATTGTTTGCTCTAGATTTAGACGGCATGTTAGGGATAAAAGGTAATATCAAGTCTCACATTCGTATTCGTATTTATTTTAACAAAGTACAAAATCACGGTGAAGTAACTTTACTTCGCGATTCATGCGTATACCAAATAAATACGACGGCATAGGCCTAAAGATTACCCTAAACACAAATTGTCAATATATTCAAATTCAATATCACAAGAATAGAACGTTATAAGAAGCTGAACAGAATTTGATCTGATGTCATATGCACTGAAGTGTGCTCTATAGTTATAAAAAAAAATTGAAGAGAATAAAAGTTGAAATAAAAATTTGATCCCCTTGGAACTCATATGAAATTTGAAGAAAACTAAAAAAATAAATTCGGTTCGGTTGTCAAAATTTTCAAACTGACTGTTTCCACTGTGGTATAGCACAAACTGGTTTTAAACTACTAGAGCGACAACGACCCAACAACGACAATTTATAAAAACGATCCATATATACACTTTGCGTCCAGTACCCTGAAATATTCCATACATATTTATGAGAACATATTTGCATTCAGATATAAGCACAAGATTAACTTGAAAGGTAAATTAACTTTGACAGGCAGCTTTATGTATTTGGACACTGGCAACAGATTCCCAGGACAAGCAGGATTAATCAAATCAATGCGTTATACAAGCACCGTCGCTCATCAGTGTCTGAATTCTGGTATTACATGAATGTGGGTTCTGCTAGCCAAGCTGCTATGACGTGAGTACCAATTTTATGTTTATTTGGAACAGCAATATACTTTAAATAACTATGATGATCTTTCAAGAGGGCAATGCTCAAAGCAGAGCAATGGTCTATCTTATCTTTGACAAGGCCTTTACCGTCATAAAACTTCCGATCAAGTAGAACGAGAGAAGTCGAAGAGCCTCTACAAATAATCGGAATTAATTTTCGAGAAGTTATCACATACAATTTTGAATTGAAAAACGAATCACATAGAGTCTACAGAAAGTTTGGAAATAAATAAAAGTTATTGAAATTAAAATGCAATCTTTAATCATTGAAAATTTCAAGCAATTGGTCCCTTTAGTTAATAATAGAAGGTATATTTTTACTAACAACAAGAAGACAATAAGAATGATAATAATACAATATTATAATAATAAAACATTTCGTAGGTTCATTTCGTGTCCAAAAAAGGGGGTCGTGTCCGTTTAAAGTTTTTTTTAAATTCATCTTTTTTGAGTCAGTTATGCTCTTTCTTCTTCTTTTCGAAGGATATTGCAAAGAATATAAGTTTTTCTGTCATTGATTATCTTGTGGCATTTTTCGTGTCACAAACATTCAAGACACCAAAAAACCTCTACTAAAACTCTATTTTAATAAAAAAATGTTTTCTTGTTTAAATAAAAACAGAAGCCTACAGTAAAATTGTCAATGACTAAACTAATCCTTACGTCTATTTATCAACTTGTCGACTTGAACTTCCAACTCTTGGATCAATCTCAGGCGTAGTACTTCCTTTTCAGTATGTAATCAACTGATATAGGCTCAATGAAAATTTTAGGCCCATTTCACAAATCACATTGAGAAAAACTGGTTTCGAAGTGGGCAAGTTTAAGAGCGCAAAATATGGCAAGTAAAACGCTCGATTTATGTGGTATTGAACTTTCAATTTTTTCAGGGTTTACATCGCTGCTTTGGATCCGGTAACCGGCGAAATTACTTCTTACGGTTCACCGTTGCAAACATTTCAAGGACAATACGGTGACGAGTGGAATGTGCAAAGAATGACGATATCTGCTCAGAGCAGGTATAGGATTGTGTTCTACGCAAAAACAGGTAATGCTTTGAGAATGATAGTGATATGCTTCTTATCATTTTTTTCAATCCCATACAAGCAGTAGGATATATGTACAAACAGCCCTTTGAGTTTTGAAGAAACAGTATCTTCTCACTCGGAATTGCCTAGCAACCTATCTGAGGTAATGAGAATAAATGCGTGCAAATCCGCAATCTTTAAATTACGGCCTCATAATAACTCAAGCAAAGATTAAAAAAATTTTCAAATTGTAATCAGCAACTGATAAGGAAACATTTAAAAAACGGTGCTTGATACGTTTATACAAGACGTATATCAACTCTCAACGCGGTTAGGAAAGGAGATCAGCAGTGAAGAATTTAGCCTTATCCCAAAAAAAAGAATATTTTTTACCACGTTCTTATATACATTTCGTTTCACAAGTACAAGCACCCAATTCAATTTTAGATAAACATTAATCTTTCCGGCTCAGCATTTACTACTTAATTGATCACGCCATGGTAGAGTGATCAAAGGTTCGTTTAAAAACGCTACCTAGCCCAGGGAAATTATGTACTCTGGGCTAAGGGTTCTCAAACTTTTGGTGTTATGGAGGTCGTGAACATATTGACTATTATTTACGGAGCCCCAAAATAAATTTATGGAAATAAAACATTGTTGCTTACCGATTAGTATTGCTGAGTAAATGAAAATACTTTATTCAATAACTCTGATGTATTCGTTGCTTTTCATTTAATACAAGCTAGAAAGAAATCTAAATTTTACAGATAAATTATATTAAAGCGAAAATTTTGCCATTTGACTAACATATCACTAAAGTTGTGTCGGATTATGTGGCAACAGGGCAGAAATTGAAGTATGGCGTTATCTACTGGAACTTATAGATAATGCCATATTTGAATTACCGCTTTGTTGTCACATTTTGATACTATACATTATCTAATTTTATCAATGCCGTTGTTGATTCTTTGGTCAGTTACAAAATTAGCCAAGACAGTATTTCAATAAGTAAACAAATAGCTCGCCCCACTAGGTTTTTCTTACTTTGCACGTTGAGAGCACTTCTGAGCACTCTGAGAACCTATGCTGTAAGCCGTACAAGTGTTACAATACAGGCCTTGTTTTTCGGTAATATATGATATCGTCTCATGAAATAATCTAGGACTAAAATAAACATGTATTTTACAGGAGGATATCCGAGTGACGTCATAGCCATTGATGACGTGAGCGTTCAAGACAGAGAATGTGACACTGCCTATTTTACTGTCAACGACTACACAGAGAAAGCTAACACTTATGGGGTCAACGAGGCCATTATTAGTGACACCATGTATACTGGAACTCCGGGATACGCATTTCAAGCTGTAGTATGTTTCGAAATTTGATTGTAATTGAGAAAACTGACAATTTTTGTTGGGGATTTTCAAAGGAAAAATGTTTGGTTTTGGGTCTATCGTACGACGTAATGTTGGTATATGTTTTAGGTGGTATTCGTTCATGTAAGGTGGTATTGTCCCACATGTAAATGTTAGGTTTGATTCGGTTATGACAGGGATCAGCAACCTGCGGCCCGCGGGCTGGATCCGGCCCGCGACGCTTCACTGAATTGTAGTAACAAAACGGCTGTTTTGTCGATTATATTCTTTACGCAAAAGAACTTACGTGTAGACTAAATCATATTATAACGTTACAAGTATATAAGTCACAATTACTCGTTTAATGAGCCTATAATTTAATTATAATTTAGACAAATGGCAACAAAACGCCGAAAAGTTGATGCTAAGTGCAAATGGTTTAATGGCGCAAAAAAATATTCAAATGCTCAGTCTTTGGGCGCTGCTTAAAATTTAACCACTGATCTGTGTGAAAAAATGTGATTCATCGATCATCCGTTCGGTTTTCAACTTTCTAAAAATATGTGCGGCCCGCCAATGACTTGCAACCTTTAATTTTGGCCTGCGAGCGACAACAGGTTGCCGACCCCTGGGTTATGGATTCACCTTTCTCTGTTTGTATTAGCAAATGAGTGTTAGCAAAAACCAAACTTATACTAGGCTAATGTGATTATGACAAAGCGACAAATGTCTTACATTCTTATCCTTAAAAAATTTCAACCTATGAACCGTTTCTCGGTGCATACATTGGCCAGGGGGGTCGGACCCCCTCCCCCCTTCGAAAAAGTAAAAAGCATTTTTCTGTATCATAAACAACAATTTTACGTAGCTTGGGAGGCTTTTCGTACCCTCGAGACTCGCTTTCGTAACCAGACCCGCTATCAGTTTTGTTTTAACTTGGTAATTGGAAAATTGAGTACCACCATAATTCAAACATTCCTGGCTGTGCCTCTGTCCGGGTAATCAATTGCAAGCATACTCTTAATGCCCAAATTTGAAACTAATTCGCGACACAAAATCTCAATTTAACGCTTTCCACGAGCTAAAAATGACATGATAATAAACAAGAGAACTGTGCTCGAATATATGGACACGTCACAAAGTGTCGCTATTTTTTATTCTGATCACAGAAAAGTCCACAGAAATTTTTGAAATAAGTAAAAGTAATACCCAACTGAAAATTTCGAAGCAATTGGTCCATTATTCGAAGAGAAAAGCGATTTCATCATGACAAAAAAGAAGAATAACAAGAACAACAACATAATATTGAAACGATCGTTATGTACACTGACGTGTCCAAAAACATCTTGATTGTTGAAAATGAAATTATTTTTTGTAGATTTATCCAAATGGAAGCCAGAGTGCTGTTGACGCAGGGTACACGGATTACCTCGGGTTTTCGTTCCAACTTGTTGGAGGAAAATACGACGATGAATTAGAATGGCCTTTTGACAAGCAATACATTAGGCTTCTAATTACCGACCAAGATCCCAACCCACAAACACGAATGAATTGGTATTATAACTTTCTAACGAGCAAAGATTCGTCACTTAATGCATCCTGGGAAAAACCAACTGGACTCGGCGTAAGTATAATTGTAATAGGATGATGTTTGTAGGTCCAACGAATTATTAAACAAGATTTTAAATATCTTAATTGTAGTTTAGCTGTTGAGTGAACCAGACACGGTTTAACCACGAATTGTTATCAATGCAGATTCACACCGGCTTTTTATACCTTCTAGAAACGTTAAATGCAGCCCTTAGAGTTTAATTAACATGGCCATGTACATAAAAAATTCTATAAGAATTAAGTCAAATATTTTTTGTTATCTAATTTATATTAAGTCATGACAAATTATTTTAAAAAAATCTTAAAACTTCTTTTCAAAACTTATATTGCCCGATGAAAAATTTGGTTGTTTTAAACGGACAAGGTTTTACAACGGGCGTTGTTTAATGATTCTGTCGGAAAAAATCCCAATTTTTTTATTTAATTTGGATGAAAAGAAACGCGTTTTGCACCTTTTTTGGATACTATTATTAAATTTGGTAAAAATCGCCAATTTTCCCTAAAATTTTAATGATAATAATGTGTTTTTTGCACTTTTACATTTTGGTGTTTTGTTATTATGAAGCCACAAAAAATTACGTAAAAGCATAATTTACCCAACTGCTTCAGGTAGTTCTATAACGTGAACAGTACGTCAAATATTCATCGCTGAAATTATTCTAATACAAGTACATTTTCAGCGTATTTGAAATAAATTTGTTTTTGATCTTGTTATTGCAGGTTGCCAACACGCCTGTTGGTTACAGAACTTTTATGCCGAAGTGGCGAATGAACACTAGATCGTATTTAAGACATGATACTGCGTATTACTCCATCCAGGTTACAGGTAAACTTTTCCAAAATATCCGAATATAACTTTCTGGTATCATCGACCATTCAAACACATGATTTCTTACATAATGCAAAGCTATGTAACATCGTCTTGGCGTATACCCTGTTTCCTGCTCCTCACATTACTTCTCGCAGTATCCATAGCAACTAGTACAATGATACTCGCGAGCTCCGGCGTGCGGTTGGGGAATATTGCTTTATCTTTAGTAGGACCTGATTTTTATATTTATGCCGAGGGAAAAGAACGCTGATAAAATTGCTTAATCATATGGTGTACCACGGCGTCTTCTACGGTTACTAGTTCATGTCGAGTATGAGTTTAGAACGAACGAAGGAACTCTCCTAGGGTAACCAAAGCTGCGCTGGCACGCTCAGCTTGATGCGCCATTTCGCCCAGCCAGAAGATTATTTCAGATGAATTAAAACGAAACGCTCATTATACAAATAACCAAAAGCCTGAATACCTGCAGATAGACAAAAAAATGAAATTGCAAACCCAAATCAATCAATCGCAGATGCTAATATCGCAAACACTAGTGGCGTTTTAACTCATTTACTCATAACGAAGCTCAAAAGTGTGGAAACATTCGACCACTGATACATAACACTATTAATGCTGTTTTTGTTTTCTTGTTGTCGGGCCCCTGAATACTATAGGAGCCGATATTTTACCAAAAACTTAGTCTTCTGTCACGTACGCAGGTTTTATAGGACCGTGCCCGTATCGATACAAGACCTCCGTGTCCATATATTTAAACATTGTTATATATTTTTTCTTACAGACATGAGACCTTACGAGGGAAGCACAGAAATATCAGCAAAAATGTCAAACCCAGTTCTACGTAAACGAGATAGTATTCTTGCCATTCCTGAACAAAATGTCTTATCTGTCGAAAGCACTCCCGATGGCGATGACGAATTAATTGATTACCGCCCAGATGACAACGAGCAGGACATGATTTCCGTTAAGTCTGCTTCAATCATTGTCACGGTGACATCTGGAATTGTGTTCCTGATCATGGCATTCGCGATCTGCGCCGTGGCAAAGGCTAATCGCAACCGTCTACAGATGGAATACACCATCATGAATAATATTAGGTAAGCATGTGGTTCTCAATTTTTATTTTTCTCGTGAAACTAACTCTTCCTTTTGTCTACCTCATTGGGAATACAGGTAAATTTAAAAATATCCCCAGAGTGTCCTCGTTATTCGGGTTAGATATAGCAATTTAGAAAACAATTTATTTTTTTAATTTTTTGGGTGATTATCTGCCAGTATAGCTTCCAACTTTTTCATGTCGATTCCTAATAACTCCCACTATGAAGTTTCAGTGTCATCAAAAAATATTATCACGCATTTATTAGGAAGAATACAATTGTCAAAATTTTGCAAGAGTTTTTAGGAAAAGACCAATTCAAGATGTTGAGACTCTCTTTATGAATTTCAAACTAGAAACTAATATTAATAAAAAAAAATGCATAATAAATTCTAGGTTTATATATTTAATATTTCAATCATTTTCTTTTGTATTGGTACATACTAGATACATCGGCCCAGAGCCAGGGGAAACGATGAAGTACAAGTGCATGAAAGGAAAAGTGTAAATAAAGTATAAATGATCAAATAAGCATTTATTTTGTCAATCAAAAATAGAATCATCAAATCGTCTTAGAAAAAATTTACTACAGTAGGGTGATCCCCAAAAACAGGACGGATATTTTGTATGAAACATAACGTTTGTGCAAATCGTCCATGATTACTAAATCCTTTGAGTATAATCATACATTAGGAAAATTTTAATTCATAAATAAATTTTATTCATTTTCTTAATAGTAATCAAAAAATTTATGTTCTCTTTTTTGGTCATTTGGTGACATATACGGGTGATTATAAGTGACTTCACCACTTTGCAGTTTGTGTTTACAGTATATGATTTTAACTAATTTTTTAGTTTCTAATGATACAAATTTAAACTTGATTGAAAAAATGATTTAAAAAAAACTTTGGTTCATTTCATTTAGTAATATAAGAAGTGGAAAACTAGGCAAAATGGTAGCAATAGCGTAAGATTAGGATCCAAATTTTAAATATTTATTCAAAATGTTGGATTTTATTAGGGAATTTACTTTTTCACTCCGAACGCGACCTTATACAGAGAGCATACAGGCAAATTGTAAGAACGTCATGGTACCAAAAACATGACGTCCTAATATCCATTTCTAGTAACAGGGAGATGGGCATGACCCCGTGCCCCCTCAGTACGCTACTGTTTGAAAATATTACTCTTCAAAAATACTCTAATCGGCCCGATTGATAATGTCTACTTATTTTAAAATAGTATTAAAATAATATACTAAAGTTGATTGCGTGAAAATATCAGTTTATTGTGAGGTCTACCAAGATAGTACTATGTCATGCGGTCTAGAACACTGTGAGAACTACTTTAAGCTTGCACTACAGCGTGAGATCTACACAAGCCAGTACTGCAGCGCAAGGTTTACCGCTAAGTTATTTTTGGTACTCCTGAAGTATGTGAACCGAGATGCGGGCACCGGAATGTAGTACGTGTACCAGGTTAGGGTTAGGCCATCATTTTATTCCTATTTTCCATACTTTGTACCTAAAATTATTGCCTAACCCTAACGTGGTACACATACTACGATCCGTTGTCCGACATCTTGGCTCCCATATTTCGATAGTACCGTTTTTTTTAAGTAAATATCAATTATTTCTAACTCTAACTCCAGCTTTTGTAGGTCGTATATTGACGTAGACCTCGTACTCTAGCAGCACCTGTGATGAAATTGAAATAGTTTTGCCTAATGTGAGCACCGTGCCACCATCACCAAGCGATCTGATTTTTAAGCCACGCGGCAAAACAAGTATTGGGTGTTATTTTATTAGCGTGCATCTTGCTACATCTTGTAAATTATAGTTCTATATCATTTTAGTATAGTAGTAATGTTTAGATTGATAACAGCCAAGAAAACGGTCCAACTTCCTCTTCGGTTCCCCTCCTGGGTTTCACTACAGCATCCAAAGTTAAAATTCGGACACAGAATTGTTAGTGTAAGACTCGTAAGGACTATCTATCATATTTGGAGTTTTCCCTATAGGTATTTCGTATCTGACGACGTTTTCATATTCAGCCTTGCTTTGGGCATTCGCATTTGATTCTTCGTTCTCCTTTTCTGAAAAATAAAAAATCATTCTGTAAAATAAAAAAATACTTATGCTCGAATGTCTAAATGGTACTCCAGTAGTATACCAGGTTTGGGTTAGGGTATAATTTTATTCCGATTTTCCATATTTTGGTTCTATTACGAGTCCCTCCATAATAGTACACATACTTCTAGAACGCCTGAAAATTGGTTATTCAGTGACAGACGTATTTTGACAGTAAAAGAGTTAAAGATCTCGAGATTTGAAGAAAAAGATTGTGTATGAGAAGGATTGAATTTGCTGATTTTTATTGATTACACAATAAAGGAAGGGTGAATTACCAAAATAATAAGATAGGCTCATTTACCGGGCATCATGTCCGGAATATCTTCATATCTTCTCATCTCTACCGGGTCGTCCTCCTCAATTTCAATACTGAAATGTGGAACAATAAAATAACATAGTATTCACACTGTATTTCGAGGGAATATTTATTAAGAACCCACTTTGCCATTATCCGGTAAATTAAAAACGAAAAAACAGACGAGAAACAGATATATTGACAATCCAATATATTAAAAACAGAGAAAACATGAATAGTAGGTGAAGAAACATTCCATCCCAAAAAGGCATACCAAAATGACCAAACACATCAAAATATACAAACTTATCCTTAGAAAAACATCAAACTAAGTTAGGTTTTTGACTGGTCTTAATATAACAATAATAAATACTTACTTCATTGCCTGTTTTCGGTATAATAGCAGTTTCCATATCACCATGGCCAACGGTACCATCATAATAATTAAACCAATAAGAAAACTGACGCCGTCAAATCGCCACCCATCATAAACATTCGGGAAAGATGAAGAAGTAAGAATATGCTGCGTAGTGTTGTTTGCTGCAAAAAGTGCTAAAAATTGTAAAATATCCGGTTCCTGAAAATTTGTACATCTTGTCTCATTTGCCGCACAGATGTCCCCTATCAGTGCACTTGCCTATTTTAAGGCATTAGTTCTAATTGTCCCACAAGTGTTTATAAAAAGAATATCGTATCAATGTCGTACGTGTAAACTTTTAAAACGTTCTGCGTGTATTTATATATATATATATTGTTGTAATTCACCGAAATCAAAATCTTTATCATAACATGAATCTCACTTCATAAGCTTACTAGCCATAGACCAAAGGTTTTGTTTTTACTTCTAGTACAGTGGTTCTCAGGGGGCGTAGACAATTTTTTGAGGGGACGTGAAGCTAATTAAAAATAAAAATATTTGTCAGATTCGATCTTCCCCGCCTTATTTTGGATACTTATGTTTCAAAACTTTACATTCATTTCATTATTTGCGTTCCATCCATATATTGCCAACGTTTGTTTTTAATAAAACATATTTTCACCTTACTATCTGGTATTTGAAGTTTATTGTAGCTTAGCCAGTTATTTTTAAGATGGGGCACGAGACTTCACAAATTCTAAAAACTGGACACGGCTTAACAAGTTTGAGAAGCATTGTTCTTCTACAATATACTATCAAAATTTAAATACCATGATCATGACTGGCAACCACTAAAATGACAAAACTGAAATTCTACTGAAATGTTGTACTGAAACATGTTGTATTTCTCTTCGTATAATCATTTTTTCTGGCGTTTATCATTTGTAAAGCGGTAAAGGGGGTTACCTTCTGCTGTTGTAGGGTCATCCCCATCTTCTGAATATTGACTTGTCGTTATATCCAAGATCCCGGACATTGTTAAAGACGAACTGGCGTTAGAACCGCCCTTTTATTTTTGAAAATCAAATACCTAGTTCAAATGTGATTTTTGTATATAATATGTGAGATTATATATCAAAGATTTGAAAACCTAGAATAAAATATAATATTAGAGTACATCGACGTTAAGATTTGATCGACATATGTATGTGCTGTATGTGCGCGTATGTGCGTACTGTGTGTGTGTATGCAGTATCTCGAGAACATATCAATCGTTGTCGCCGAAATATCATAAATGCTTCCATATAGCATTAGCTTTATATTTCAGCTGCAGTGAAATAGCTCAAAAATATATGTTAATAAGTTTTCTAATGATGCTTCTAGCTATTGTCACTATTCCCATCAAACATATTTCTTTTCAGGAATTTAAAGTTGCGATATAAAGTCAAGTTTTTAGATATCAGCGGCCTCCTAATAGAATAGGGACTTCTTTGGAGCGGAAGGCGTGATTAAGAAAAAAAATACCTCCGAACCTGCATTTAATTAAAGCTGCTCTCGAAATACTCAAAATATATTTGTCTTTTATAAGTTTTTTCTAAATCTCTAGAATTTGTATGATATGGATAATCTAAAATCTGAAATGCCAGTGTATTCCACATAACATATACACGGTGACAGATTTAAATTACCAACGTACATATCCTCGAAGCAACACTTTTAACGAAATCTAGCAAATTAACAAGAATTATTAGGTTGTTACAACACAAATAAAATATTTGACACAAATCTAACACTACATCCTCAAAAATCATTAATTTTTATTATCTAAGTTTATAGAGTTTAATTCTAATTATAATTATCCGCAATAATAGGTAATTTCAAAGCTTTCTTTACTACAAAATATCTGTAATTTTGCTGAGTCTGTTTTGAAATCAAGTAGGCGAGCGTTATTGTTGAATATACGAGTTATCCTACGCGTTCTTCGGTTCAAATATAATGTTATTGTATGTCACTAAAATGGTGTCAGAATCAATATATACTAAATTTCTTTTGGTTAGTCGTTTGCCAAGATTGAAATGAGTATGACTTAGAAATACTTATTATTTTCGATACCAGCGCATGCTTGTTCCAGTAGATAAAATAGAGTGACTCTGCCACCATCATGTAAAAAAATTACTATGTGTTTTGCATGCTACTAAGACTATTTTTTTTGTGTAGGTTTATTAGTTCAGTGTCATGAAATTTCAAATAATACAAAATGATGATCAGATCCACATCTTTGTGCATATGCCATGGCTTAGAGCAGTGTTACCCAACCTGTGGATCGCGACCCAAAATTGGATCGCCGGCAGATTTTTTTGAGTTGCTTGATTTTCAGCAAAAACCTAAAATTTAACAATTATTTTCCAGTAAATTTTATTGTTTATTATGTATTTTTTATCGAAGTGTTGCTCAATAACAATTGTACATGTGGAAAGTATCAAAGTGTGAAAACTTAGCAGCCAGCATTTTACTAAGTAAAGCCACATCACCATATCAAAAACTCGCTGATGGCGAACAATCACTGCCTTTTTACTTTGGGGTAATTTCTAAGGGAATAAATGTTATGTAAAAATTATTATTTTATATTAGACCTTAGGTTTGAGGCAATAAAAGTACTACAAGCTGTTTAATATTTGAACAAGTCCTTGATCGCGAAGGTTTACAAAATTTATTCAAAAAAAAATTTGGGTCTCTCAAAAAAAGGTTGGTAACCACTGACTTAGAACACCGCTTCCCGATACGGAAAAAATAATTTATCATATTATGTACATATACGCCCCGAACAGGGCTCTTCACTTCAATAAACCACTTCTAAGTGAGGAATTTTGTAGTTCGGAAGGACAATAATCTTTCTGATTTGGCATCAATCATTCAACATGCGACCTTATGAAGCTAAGTGTAACGTTGAACACTACGCTCAAGCGATAATAACCTATTAGAAAATTGTGTTAATGTTCCCATTGTCAAATCTACTCTTTCTAAACGGCTGATTCTACCACTACCATATCAAAATTGCTCTGTGGCGCACCCTTTAAAGCGAAAGTACTCATTAGTAGGTATAGCGTCACAAAATTCAAAATGTTAGAATACGATGCGAGTAAAAAAGGGATTATGGTTAGAGATAAAAGGGCGACATAAGTCGATTAACAATTCTTAGCTAAAAATATACAATAGCATGATAAAACGATACGGGCTAAGTTTTGCAGCAGTTGCAAAATTGTAGATAAACTACATTAGAAAGATAAATTAATCAAAGATATCAGGTTGACTAGTATTTATCTATGACAGCTATATCAGTTCTCAGCAACAAACCCATTCTTGACATTGTAATAAGTTACACACTAACATATACATATAAATATTCGGTGTCTAAAATTGTCGTATCGCTTTTGTCTGGAACACAAAACACAAGGTCGAATATTCAAATTTCGAAAAAAGATTACAAAAATTTTACATAGAAATATTTGCTTTTCAATAGCATGATAGGAAAATAGTCACATATTCACAAAAGTCGCTTTATTTATATCTCGCAAACGACGCCATGAATCTTCCATGTTGGAGTAGTATTTCCCATTCCTTGGTAAGTAATAGGTGTTGCTTCGAAAAACACGTCGAGGTAGACGGCATACCCTCCTGATCCAGGAAAACCTGAGCTCCACCATTTCACATAAGGTGCTGGTTTTCCGTCATTTAAAAACACCTCGCCGGTCTGAAAAATAAAAATATCCAATTAAATTTAATAAATAAGAAATTTTATGACGAGAAGATATCCAAGAATAGAAGAAATTTTAAAATATCAATTTTTTATATCACATTTTCACCCTTAAAAAATTTTTTGGCCTGCAAACTAGACTCTTAGCATTATTTACTCACAATTGTTTGATCATATTTGAAACTGACTTAATCTTCAAGGTGATTTTAATTCAAAGAAAACATTCACATAAACATTTGAATACAGAGACCTGCTATATTTGGAAAGGTCGTATTTTTTCCGGTGTCGCATTGCTCACAATTATAATCGAAAGCAAAAAGCAATCTCAGCACAGTCAAGTAAGTTTATCACATACAGAGGTATTATAGTTTCTTCGTAATATACGAGGAGTTCATAACGCCGTGAATTTTTTAAACGATGGTTTGTATAGTTTGTGTGCAACTACAACTACAAAATCAAGTAAAAAAAAAACAATGATCAAAATAAAACAAACCTGGTAAATATATATTGAGTACTGACTTCATACATTGAAATTGTAATGGAAAGTTATAAACACTCTCAAACATATCTCACAAATTAAACTCATAGTATGTAAATTGCGAACTACCTTATTGTAAGCTTGCGATCCTGTCCATACGTAAGTAGAAGCGGGAGTTTTGGGGCGAACGTCGGCCATCACATCGATAAGATGTTGCTTCGAGTATATATTTGCAGCTTTCGCTCCATCGGCTTCGCATAATGCTCTTCCGTCGTCAAAATCCACATCTCTCTCCAAATGAACATGGGAGTAGAAGCAACGGCCCAGGTATTCAACTGCACATTTTCCTATTAGATTCAAAATAAAATTTGAAGAGCGATTTTTTTTCATTTTGAAATCTCTATTCTGTGAGCGCGTTGTCTTAGAGGTTAGAATTTCATATTTAACCATGCTGACATCGCAGATTAGAATTCTACAAAATACCTTACCCGAGTTGTAGCCAATTGGGTAGACGATGCTGAGCCGGAATGATCTCGGCTCTCTCTGAATGTAACAATATTCGTACCTGACAGTGGTGCTTTTGAAGAGCCTTTATCGGAAATTTCTTTTGAGTGACATAAAGACCACTACATTACCCAAGAAATGCCGACCCCAATAAATTAGTGCATTTATTAATGTAGAACTACATGTTTACAAACATTTCATGGTAAAAAACGACTAGATGGCTTTGTGTATTCCCTTTAAATAATGCTTGGTAAAAGATCTCGAACAATTCAAGTCCACTCGATTACAGAAAAGTCTCAGGTAATAAGAGATATAATTTAAGAGACAATTTCCCACAAAAAAAAATCATTCTTGTGAAACATCGCTTTTTTATCAAAAATAAAATTTGAAAAGGAATAATTGATTTTCTCAATGTTCATATTAAAAGCTTACAGAACATTTTTAAGTAAGAAGTCAAAATCAAAACAAAAAACAAAGTGGTTTGTATCCTTATTACGAACCTACGGCTTTAAGTATTTCCATTCTCATTTGATCGTATTTGAAGGCGAGAGTTAGAATTCTCTCATTCATTTGATTCATCTTTTTCTCTATTCCAAAGTATTTGTCGTTTACGTCCATTCTTATTTCCCAGTGAACTAAAAGTAAAGTAAAGTAAATATAATTCCACATTTTTTATCTGAGCCATATTTTTACAATGCAGTTGGAACAGATTTTATGTCTTTAGTAATTTATGCGACTGAAAGACACATCACAAAGAAATAGTCACAATTAAATATCTTTCAAGTATTAAATATTCGATTCGATTTGAAAAAATATTCGATTCGGTTCTGATATCATTGAGTATTTAAAAATTTCTAGTCAGTCCTAATTGTAACACAGCCAGTCCTTTTAACACTGTTCTAGACTAGAAGTACATTGTAGCTATATATTCTCAGGTGAATAATACTATCAGAAGATTAAATGAACGAATGGAATTTACTGGAAATTATAAATTAAAATTCTCACGTTTCATGCAGAAAATGAATATGAGAAAATAATAAGTGATCTTCAATCACCTTCGGGAATGCTTCACTAGATTAATAGTCTCCCGTTGTTCTTTTTCCAGTACTCGGATAAAAGCCATAAACTAATATCAGTGCATTTTTAAATGACATTTTAACACTTACAACCACGAACAAGGCTCTGTCAAGCAGTCACTGGTTTGTAAGTAGTTAATATTTTTCCCTACTCAAGATTAATAAAAAATATTATTTTTTACATCAAATATAGTGCGCTGGAAAAAATATTTTAAACTTCAGAAATATTGGATATTAAATGAATTCCTCACTTTTTTCCACTCTTTCTTCGAAACGTTTTAGTCGATCATTAAGAAGTCGAATTTCTTCGTTTCTTTCGTTTCGATTTCTCCCCCTTTTTCCTTTACCAACAGTCCGGTTAGGTTCACTTTTAACAAGTTAGGATTTTTATTTTAAAAAAATGAAAGGAATTCTAAGTTATTCAAGAGTCTTGCTGCACAATAACACAAATTAATTTTTGTGACGTTTCGTTTGATCGAAGTCAGAATAGTTATAATCAATCTAGCTAGAGCATTATACATATCCTCGAGTGCAAAAGCTTAGAAGAAAGATAATTAGTCCAGCAGAAACAAATAGAAGGCACAAATAAATAGAAGTCTTGTTCCCTTTTAGGTGAAATAAAACAGCAAAACTAATAAACAAGATGAGACAAAAGTAGGGTAACCGTTAACAATAATAAAATAAATTAGGAACTATAATCCTATATTTGACCCAACAGGTATAAACAACAAGCATCTCAGAAATTAGCATATATAAATTTGGTGTTCAATAAACATACTTTAATGTTTCTAGAAGCTCCAACTCTACATTTTCTTCAATTTCGACACTTTCAACTGCAGAGTTCAGCCGCATACAAATCTTTCTTGGTCTACTTCCACCATAGACATTTCCCAATAAAATAGCAGCAACAAAAAATGACGTAATATTCAATGACGTCATTATAACGTAATAAGTTTTTTTCTGTAAAAAAAAATGTCAACAAAATTAGATAAAAATTGAAGTAATGTCTGCGATGGATTGCGGCCACCGAATTATTGAAATTATGTTACAATTACTAGTTAAACAATCACGGCTTCGAACACTTCTGCCCATTTAAACAAAAACAAAATTCGGCAAGCAATGCTTAACCAATAAGCTCTTACTGTATGCGAAACCTACGATCGTTTCTGATATTCTCATACATTCTTTTCTTCTCAAATGCAAACATTCTCAAACATACTTTTGTATTTGAACGCAAAGGGCTGTTAATCGTGCGTTCGTATTATTACAAAGATTGGACGCTATCTTTAATGCCTACAACACCATTATGAAAAAACCGAAAATATAACGTAAATGCTAGCAATTTAATTAGCCTTCGCTCCACTTTCAAGAACTGAACATACTTCAAGGCAATTTATAAAAAAATTTGCTGTACGCGCTTATGAATGACCTTCATTATTTAAATATTTTGGTGTCGTTTCTAAGATGGATGGGATGATAATTATGCGCTCAATCATTCGTTTTGCTATAAAAATTACCTCAATAAATTGATTGATAGGAAAGTACGAAATTAGCATAATTTTTATATGGCAATAGAAGAATGTAAGCTCGCCCGAAACATGACATTATTTTTATCCAGGCACTGACTTTCATTTTGAATATAATGGCTTTTTACATTTGGATATAGTTAGAATATTTATCGTTTGGTTACGTCTTTTACCAAAGTATAGCTCTTTTGCATGAATCGAACTCGAAGCCGACATAAAAAATTGACAGACATCTGGAGTACGACAAATGTAGTTGATGACGTATAGCATTTTCCTCAAGCTCAACTGTCTAATTTTACATGCAACATGTATTTCCCACATGAAAGGATTATTATTACCTCACCCTTAGTTTGACTGCGAGATCTCTCTACAAAATTATCAATCAATCATCTTAGGGTAAGAACATTGTTTACACTATAAACATTGTTACCCTGAACTTTCTCGTAGGCTACCTATAAATTTATTTGATCGACTTGAAAAATGCAAATTTTGCTGCAATTTCATACAATGGTATAGATATTATTTATCTCTACCAGCTAGTTAACTGATGGTTGCATTTAAATTAAGAATAAACTTTATTTAAAGTTCGTAACCATCATTGCGCTCACACAACCACAGCCTCTTTTCTGCCAAGTTTCATCTAAAATATAATCAAAGATTACAGGTCGTCATTCTTTGTTAATTCAAATAACTGGCAACATAAGAATGCAACATAACATTTTTTAAATCATTTGAGTACACATACTAACGTTTACGCAGAATGTCACATATTTATATCATTTCTAAAAGTTCATTTTTTGGTATTTTTTAATACTGTATTATTATTTATAGAACCCATGATCATGACTTAAGTTAGATGAATGTCAGATAGACCTTTGCCTAAGAGTTTAGCCCTAACACGCTATTCACGTTACACATTACAGGTTATTGGGAGAAACGCCCTATGGTAATATGCTACGGTAATCGGTCATATGATGAGAGTCATATGATTTTTTCTTCTCTTGCGTAAAAAATTGGATGAAACATTAAAAACTTTCCTAAAATTTTGAGAACATTTTTATATCATATTTTTGTGAAATAAAATTTTGTTATTCTTGGGCAAACGACAATTTTTGCTATCTTGCTTGCACTCTAAGTGTTAAAAATTGAATAACAGTATTTTCTAAATTTATGAAAATATTTTTGTATCATATTTTTGTTGAATAAACTTTGATATTCTAGTCCAGTGGTTTTTGAACTTTTTTGATCGCGCCGCAGATTCAGAATTTGTCAAGTCTCGTGTCTCACCTCAAATATAACTAGCTTACCATAAGCTACAAATACGAAATAGTAAGGCGAAAATTGAAGATACGTGGATGATACAGAAATAACAAAATGAATGTTAATGTAAATATCATAAATAAAGCGGACAAGATCTAACCTAACAAATATTTTCATTTTTAGTTAGCTTCACGTCCATTAAAAAATTGTCTGCGCCCCAACGTTCGAGAACCACTGTTCTTGGCATAAACGCTCTCTGGTATTATGTAACGGTTATCAATCATATAAGAGTCATAGAAAGCATAGTTTTGTTATATTGCGTGACTATGCGCAATAAATATGAAAAACTTCATGAAATATTAAAAAAGTTTGAGTATTTCCCAAAATTTTGAGAATATATTAATATTATATTTATGTTGAATATACTTTACTAGTATAGGCATAAACTTTCTCTGGTAATATGCATCGGTAATAGATCATATGAGAGTCATATGATGGATGGTTTTGGTATCTTGTGTGACTGTGCGCATTAAATATGAAAAACTTCATAAAATATTAGGAATTTTGAGTTATTTTGAAATTATATACATAATTTTTTCAAAATTAATTTTCTTATACTTGAGAAAAACGTCTCTATGCAGCGGTAATCGATCACATGTGTTTCATAAGACTCGTCATCTGACTAGTGCGACTGTAAGCATGACTATGATCATGATTTTAAATAATCAAAAATGCGTGAAACAAAAGTGGGTTCATCCCCCAAAATGTGGTTTTAGTATTATTTTGTGTCCTAAAAAAAGTTTATTGATATTTAGTGCTGAAGAGCGAACGATAACTATTTCACGATGTTCACTTACGCCTTTCGAATCTTCCAATATAACCTTGGCACTGATGACTCGTAAAATGTATGATGCTACTCTATTTGACATTTCATCTTATAATTTTCAGACTCAATTGTCAAGCCACCTCAACCTGTAAAGATACCATAACTACAAATAGCACGGAAAACTCACGTATCAATTGTTTATATGTACATTTACTTGTCAACGGGACATCTCGAGGGAAATCGCCAACAACATTCATTATACTAATAAAAGTCTTCAGTCTTTGGGTTCATATTTAACGAATCCGGGATTTTAAGCCAGCATCATTTCAAAAATACATAATTTTATTGGACACGAAATATGTGAAGAGTACGCCCGCTAAAGTGTTGTCATGGCAGGCAGATTGCATATGTATGCAACCTGTTAAAATAACTAGTCGATTTCAAATTATTTTTAGATACACTTGAAGATGTAAGCAGTTACACAAACAATATCACTATAACATTATTCTCGTATTTGTTTTGTAATCCGATAGTTAATCAAAATAATTGCCGTTTTCCTTTAATTTACATCTTCAGCACAAACTCTTTTTGGGTCCACAAATTTCATTTCAGTTTTACCGCGGGTCGCACATTGATAGATATGTCATAAATAACAGTTTAAATTTGTTGAAATATGATGAGTATGAAGAATAATTGGTGGTTTCAGCAGTATTAGGATTTAGAGAGTATAAAAGATTCTTTCTCCAGCTTTAGCAAAACTCTATTTAGAATGTCATTTCCTCGCTTTTTATTATTGCCTGGAATCTTTGTTGTTGTTCCGAAGTGAACTATAGTTGTTGTAGTTGCAAACAACGAGGTCTGTTGACGTTCTCCAACCACGAGATCCGCTGATATGCTGCGCCGCCGTTTGGTAAACCGCAACAATGTGCGCAATTTTGAATACGTCATAGCACTCAAAAACTAATCTCACACAGCTTACAGAAATATTAGAAATAAGTGAAAGTAAGTAAGACCTTCCAAGCGAAACATACAATCTTTAACATCTGAAAATTTCGAAGCAAATGGTCAAATAATTAAAAATAATAGCGATTTTTTCATAACGATGATAAAAAAAAAATTGAAAACGTAATAACAAAACGATCCATAGGTCCACTCCGTATCCAATAACCATCGATAAAATACATTAACTCTAACATCAGCTTTGTCAAGGCGGTGTCACAAGATAAAGAATTGCTGGACTCAATGACAAAACTTTAAATACCGCCGCATGAATCGTTTCGGCCGCGAGTTAGACATCACTGGACTAATCGATTTCAAATTTTCAGTGCTCAAATATGAAACTAATAACCGCATAAATCTTGATTTTATTTTTATCTCACAATTATTCAGAATTCCATGGGGCCCCAGCTGGTGCACAATGAACTACGTTCTCTCGTTTCATTTTACTGAATATCCTGGCTAGATTTTTGATAACGACATGACGTCCGCTGTAAAACTTGCAGAATAAATTTAAATGAATATTTAAACGCCATATCGTCACGCTAAAAACCGAATTGCGTAAGTCATTTTTGGCGTTTTTGAGTTTTTTATAAAATAGGTATCTATGTAATGCTGCGCACTTGTCTGTTAACTCAGATTTTATTTTAGGAATTCCGAAACCCATAAAAATGGAGATTTAGAATGACATGCGCATTTGTGCAATTGTTCCGTCATAATGAATTATAATTGTTACCGCAGGACTATTGTGACGTCACAAAAGCAAAATAACCTCGGCGAAGTATTTTCGAGTTTTTGCATCTCGGATTCTTGCTTAGCGGGTATTGAATTTATACTACAGTATAAGAAGGCGTGCACTTGTGATATTCACTGTCCGAGTCCAATTCACCTTGGTTGGCTTTTATATTGGGTGCATTGCTGTTTTATTCTTTATATTTAATCTTAGTGTTATTTCGGTGGGTGCAGAACGTGTTATATTGATGAAATATATATTTTTAAACATAAAAAATAATGTAATTATAACTGATTAGCTATTTTGGGTTTATACATTGTAGGTACTGAGAATTACATTCGTTTTTGGAATGTTTAGTTTTCAGGACTGGTGCATATAGTAAAGTTGCAAAATTGCGTATGTCCCCAAGTCATAGACAAATTTCTGCCTAAGTCACAGTGCGCCATTATGACGTCACTTAACTGCGTCATACGAATTAACATAAATCCGGCTACGATCAAAAAATTGAACCATGGCAAATTATTGACTCTCAATGGCTTAACAATATCATTAGTAAGTTTTTTACGTTTTTCTCAAAACTGCTAAAAATGACTTACGCAATTCGGTTATTAGCGTGACGATATG